GCAGGAGCACAGGCTCCGGCAAGGAGTCTAGGAGGTGTTTCAAATCAGGAAGAGAGAGCGGGACACTCGGGGGGAGATAAATGGAACAAACTGTGTACCATTTCCCCACAAAGATACGAGCAGCAGAACAATGGAGAGGCGAAGGAAAAAGTAAAGGAACAAAGGGAACATCAGCCCGAATCAAGAGAGCAGAAGAATTAGAAGCCCCAGCAATGGCTGGGGGGGGGGAGAGAAAGGAATAGCCACGAAAACGACCAGGACGAGCACCAAGCATCGGCTCCTGGAGACAGACACAAAGGGGCGAAAACCGCGAAACCAGAAGTTGGAGTTCGAGGAAATTGGCGTAATAACCTCGAACGTTCCATTGAAGAATGGACAACGACGAGAAGAGAAAGGACAAAAACAGAGAACAAGGAAGAAACAAAGGCGAAAGACCAACAGAGCACGTTAAAGAATATCAGGGTCGGGATCAGGGTCAGCAAAGTCAGGGTTAGGGGGCATGGGTAAACTGAGCAAAGACGGAGGGAAGGAAACGGGAGAACAGATCAGAGGTGGGCGGGCAGGGTCCGGAGGAGGAGGAGGAGGAGGAGGAGGAGGAGACAACGGAGAGGAGCAGTCAAGGACAGCAGCAGGAAGAGGGGGAGTAGAAAGAGAGGAGCGCACCCCAGCAAGAGCAGCAACCGAAAGGGAAGCAGGGGCCAAAGAAACCTCCATAGCAGGAACAGGGGGCGCAAGCACTGAAACGGGAGGGGAAGGAGCAACAGAGCCAGAAGGAGGAGCTGAGGAAGAAAGCGAAGCCTTCTTACCCGCCGGGGAAGAGGAAGGAGAGGAGCCAGGCTTACGCTTCTGACTTAAAGAGACCGGTGTCCCAGCAACTACGTACCGGGCAACGGATTCCAGTGTCTCAACAGGAGAAGCCGAACGAGAGCACACACGACGGCCGTTAGGAGAGCGATGGACATCCGCCCGCACCGACAGGCGGCGGGGAGAGCCGATAGATGGAGGAAGAGGATGGGAAGGAGGATCGGAGGGGGACGAGGAAGAAGACACAGAAGACACGACAGACCGGGTAGAAGGAAGGGGAACCCCAGACAGAGGACCAGGAGGAGGATCCTTCGGGAGAGAACCCAAAGGGACAGAGGAGGGGGCAGTGGGCGCATCAGGGTCCAAGGCCTGGAAACGGTTGCGAGTCTGAGGAAGGCGGGAAGGACGAGGAGAGGAAGAGCGCAACACGCGAGCATAAGAGATATTAGCATAAGGCGGGAGCCGGCGAACCTGGCGCCTCGCCTCAGGAAAAGATAAACGCTCCCGGTGCTTCAAGTTGAGGACGGCTGCCTCAAGCTTGTAATGGACACACGCACGGGAGAAGGTAGGATGGGCCTCACCGCAGTTGAGGCAACGAGCCTGGGGAGAAGCGCACTCCGACTTAGAGTGACCTTCGCCACCACACAAAGGACAGAGAGAGACAGTCCCGGAGCAGCGGAGGGCACCATGCCCAAACCTCCAGCACTTGTTGCAGAGCCGAGGAGAAGGAATGTACTCCTGGACAGAGCACCTGGCACCAGCAAGAATGACAGAGGGTGGAAGGGTCCTACCATCAAAGGTAATCTTCACAACCCGGAGGGGTTGACGGCGACTACCACGAGGGGGACGAGTAAACGTGTCCACCTGGAGAATAGAATGGCCCTGGGCAGCGAGGATATGTCGAATATCGTCGTGGCAGTCGCGTAGGTCCCGAACACCGGTCGCAACATGGGGCGGGAGCAAAATAGTGCCAACACTGGCATTCAACTGAACGTTCTTCGAGACCCGAACGGGGGTCTCGCCAAGGCAGGATAAGGCAGCCAAGCGGGAAGCAGCATCCTGAGAAGGAGCAGCAACGACACGTGTACCGAGACGAGTGGGGTTGAAAGTAATGGAGGCATCCACGGAATCAATGAGATGTCGATGGAGGGAGAAATCGTCAGGAGGCGCAGAATCAAGAGGGAGGAGATCAAAATATTTGGCCCACGAAGCGGGACCAAACAAGGCTTGATAGGTAGCAGAACTGGAAGGAATCGAGCGAGGGCGGCCGTGACGAAGACGGCGGTGAGAACCCCCAGAGAGAGAGGGGTTAAAAGGCGCAGTAGTTACAACTAGAGAAGGAGCCACGCCAGGGGACGAGGTAGTCACCACTGGGGGCTTGGGGCTCGACCCAACCACAGAGGAGGGAGGGGAGCCAGAGGAAGGAGTCAGAGAGGCCAAAGGAGGAGCAAGGTCGGGGCCCAATGCAGCGGAGGCTACAGAGCCCGGTCTTCCAATACGGACCGACTCGGGGGCTTGGTCGCCCACCCCACGAGCCTGAGAAGGTAAACCAGAAGAAGCCGAAGCAGGGGTAATCATCTTGACGAAAGAAATAATTCACTCACGAATGTGCCCCCACACCCACCATGGAGCCACAATTAGAGGCAGGACACCCAACAAGAAGCTATCGCCGATCTTGTCGGGGCCTCCTAGGGGTGCGTCGCGAGTATACGCCCCACAAACGCCACCTTAAGAAACCGACAGTCCGTCGAGATCGGGTTCAGTGACGAAGTGGGGATTGACAATAAAAGGTTCCCCTCGCTCTCGACGTCGGGTACTGCAGTTCTACGGGTGCATGAGTATGCCTCCTCAAGCACCCGGGCGTCAAAATAGAAGAAGTCCAAGGGAAGAACCAGAACGAGCAAAAGGTCGGCAGGAAACGGCAAGCAGATAGGAGAAGAGGGGGGAGAAAAACGAAACAGAAGGAAAAGGAAAAGATGCCCAGCAGAATTGGAGAGGACGGCAGCAGGAGCACAAGGCTAGAAAAGGACAGAGGACTGTCCCAAGGAGCATCACACTCCGGCAGCCGCCCACTAAGCCCCCACACGGCGACAACGAGCTGAGCGGGGAGGGGCCAACACTGGCAAACCAATGTATTCTAGAGATGGCATTTCACAATGGTATCAAAGTATAAAATTTGTGTTGAGCTTTAAGTGATGTCTTCTTGAGAGGAAAAAACTTCTCCACTTGAACTTGCTACTATACTCAAACCATACAGTAATACTTCCATAGATCTCCATACTAGGTTTTATCTTGACTTCATACATTTTAATTTCAAATATTTTGTCATGGCAATGAATTGAATGTGTTTACAAATTATTAAAAATGTTTTATTCTCTAACCTCATGGTTCAGTTAATTACATACACAAAATCTTTAAACTGGGTTGATTATTATTCCACTAATCTTGTCCATTGTTTTGTTACTGCCTTGGTAAAGTTATAAAACTAACTCTCTGTATCTTTGGCCCTGCATGTGGGCATTGACCCATAACAAGTCAGCTTGAATGTTGGGTGCAGACAAGTGGAGTACAACTGCCCCTTGCCAATAAAATTCCTGGAGCCAAAAAAGGAAGATAGTTCAGTGCCCCCAAGAGACCACCTGTAGTACCTAAGAATGCAGGGTCCAACCAGAAGAAAGGACTGCATACCCCCACCACACCACCACTGGAGCCCAGTGCAAAAGGATCAACCATGGCCATTAGTCAACTTCCTCAAAGAGAGTGGCACCAGCCCACAGCTGCTTTCACAGGCTGATGCTCGACCTTGCAACCAAATCGAAGTGAGTACTCTCTCCCACCCTCATACTAGGTGATATAATCATAAAGTACAAAACAGTAACAATAATTGACAGAGGTATATTTGAAACCTGCAACTTCAAGAACAAGATGCCATAGATTCAAGCTAGGAAACAAAAGTGGCAAAAATATCTAAGAAAGTTTTCTTGTGTGAACTGAGTTGTAGATGGTTAGAAAGAGTTTCAAAGCATCATATAACAAAGAGTACTGGGAAGACAGAACACCACAAAAATAGCTCTCATCCCATAATTATACTTAAGTAATTAGACACACATTCCCATCCAAACTCTTTCAAATCAGCACATCTGTAATATATAACTTTGTCATGTCTACGAACATAATCCATTTCTCTTATACGTTATTAAATTCATAATGCTAAATTCTATATAACAGCATTTTCAAGCCACATGTTTATTATGTCAGGTGAACAGAGGCATCAGATGAAAGGAAATGTTGCCGTAAGTTTCTTTTTCATTGCAGGATTTGAACCTGTGACCCAAATGCAATGACCACTTAGTTGTAGGATCCTTCTGAAATACCTGGTATATTTGTTTCCTGTACAGTAATTTGAAAAAATTTCCAAAACTTAAGAACACCAAGTATCTAATTTAATATTAACAGACTTTCAATTAGCTAATAGTTTTCCCTCTGTCTTATATCTGCCATTCTCCACAAGCCACAACTGCTAAAAATGAAAGTTTATTGCAATGAAAATGCCATTGCAAGTAAAGAGTAAAGATAAGTGATGCTGCCTTTTATTGCACTATGAATAGTGTATGCATAACAAATAGTTCAGTCATAAGACTGACAATGAATAACAGCTTCATTATTGCACCTAAATATAAATGTATTATTACTTAAAAATATGTTTCAAGTGCTGTGACTGTGACGAGGACCATGTTTATCCAATTTTAGGAACCACACACACATACACACAACACATATACATACACATATATCAGACCAATCCTAAAATATGCAGCTCCAGCATGAAGAAAATATCTCATCAAGCATAAAACTAAATTAGAGAAGGTTCAGAGGTTTGCCACCAGACTAGTGCCATAACTGAGGGGCATGAGCTATGAGAAGAAACTATGGGAATTAAACCTAAAGTTGCTGGAAGACAGGAGAGTAAGAGGGGACATGATCACATCCTACAAGATTCTCAAAGGAATTGATAGGATAGTCAAAGACAGTTTATTTAACATGAGGGGCATAGGCACTAGGGGACACAGGTGGAAATTGAGTGCCCAAATGAGCCATAAAGACATTAAAAAGGATTTTTTTTTAGTGTCAGAGTAGTTAATAAATGGAATGCATTAGGAAGTGATGTGGTGGAGGCAGACTCCATATACAGTTTCAAGTGTAGATATGATAGAGCCCAATAGGCTCAGGAACCTGTACACCAGTTGACTGACAGTTGAGAGGCAGGACAAAAAAAACAAATTTCAACCCCACGCAAGCACAACTAGGTGAGTACATACATAAGTATATCTGTAAATATAGGCCTATACTGTACTTAGGTAAGTTAATGCCTATATTTGCAAATCTCAAATGCAAAATACAATTAATAAAATAATTAACATCTGTGATATTGAATCTAGCTACAGTTTTCCTTTAGGTACTAATTTATCTTGCAAAACACAAAGGCTGATGAGTACAGCCTCCTCTGTCCGTATGGTACGAGTCTGTTGCAGCGGACATGTATTATTGTAGTAATCAAACAGTTGAAGTGGTTCCGATGCCTCAAGTTTATTATCCGCATCTATGGCTGCCTCAAGCCCTTCCACCCCTAAAACAAAATATTAAAGTACTGTAAAGATTAAAACAATAACAACAGAAAAATAATAAACAGCAATGGCCAAATGCAACTTTTTTCTTTTACTATGATTGCAAAATTATTCAACAATGGCCATCCAAATCTTCATAAAATTAATGATACCTGTACTTCAAAGTAAATACAGTAACAAAAAAATATAAATATATATGCAAAATGGTTTCACTGTCAGGTATCTCAGTGTGAATGGATGAAAATCTTTGCATACAAAAAATATGGACCTATGCCGGCTAAGCTGTAAAAGGAAGAAGTGCCAATGACATCATTGACACAGTTCCATGAAATTTATTTTAATTAATTAATCAGTGGAGGAAATGCTCTAGATGTATCCTGGCCATTCAATCCACAGATGTAACGTGATAATTTAAAGTGATAATTCACACCCAAGTATCATCAAATATTTTTTTACACGCTAATCAATTGCCCTGCGTGTTATTTTTACAGACTTTGCTTATCCCAGGCCACAGTTAAGTATTTTGTAGTTTTGAAATACCCAATACTGAGGGGCAAAATATTTGAAAGCAGTAAAAATAGAGAAACAGATGAACTTTATCTCTGTTAATAGATGCGATTTTGTAAATATGTGACCATTAATCCAACCAAGAGTGTCAAGAGGGTTTGTGTATCTTAACAGCTGACATCCATTCACAACTAATCCATCACCTGCCTGCTGTCTGCTAGGAATACACCCCTTGGGAGATCAGGGAACCAAATAATGTTGGTATGAACTTGTTCTCTGAACAATATAAACAAAATTGTTAGCTTATTGCAACCATCACTGTTATTAATATGGATTGATTTTCTTTCAGCTGTTCTGTTCCTAGCTATCCATATGAAAAATAAAACCATGCTACTGACATATTTTGACATGACATATTTTGAAGTCATACTGGTACCCAGTAGGACTGATGATATTTTAAATAATCTGGCAAAGGGGGTATAGGGACATACTGGGTAATCCATTGCAGGTCTATAATCATGTTAAGAACCCTTTCTATAGAGTAATACATGATGCTATATTGATGTCAGTAGAGAGTAATACATGATGCTGTGTTGATATGTTAGTAGAGATTAATACATAACATTGCATTGGGATCAACTAGTAGAGAATAACACATGATGCTGGGTTGTTACGTCAGTAGAGAGTAATACATGGTGCTAAGTTGGTATCTATTAGCAAATACATACTGCTATGCTCGTATCAGTTATTAGAGCACAATACACAATGTTGGGTTAGCATCAGTTAGTAAAGAGTAATATATGGTGATGTGTTTGTATCAGCTATTAGAAAATAAGTCATGATGCTGTGATGGTATCAGCTATTAGAAAGTAATACATGATGCTGGGTTGGTATCAGCTATTAGAGAGTAATACATAGTGATGTGCTCATAGCAAAGAGTAATACACAATGCTCTGTTGATATCAGCTAGCAGAGAGTACTGTAATACATAATTCTGTGTAAATAACAGTTAGTAGAGATTACTATAGGATGCTGCATTGATATCAGATAGTAGTGAGCAATACATGATGCTGTGTTGATATCAACTAGTACAGAATAAGACAAAGCTGCATTGCTATTACTTAGTAGAGAGCAATACATAATACAAAATTAATGTATGCAGTTTAGTCTGTGCTAGCCAGAATTTTAGCCAATACTATGCAGTTGCATTGCCAAAGTAATAACAGAAAAACTTGCTATGTGACACCACTGCAAATAGCAAGTTGACAACATAATCTGACTATGTGATTGAACTAGTTTCTGAAACTGGAATTTCAGAATGTTATATAATGAATTAATGAGGTAAGCCTTACCCCCAAACACAACGAGTGCATGAGAAAATGTGGGGTACTCTGTCTTTCGGACGTCGTCTCCTTTATCAGATGTCCCAATGAGAAGGTCATAACCATCAGGAAATCTGCTACCAGCCACAACCTTCAAAATATAAAACAAAGGCCTTAAAATGATGGTAATAATGTTATAGTACAATTACGAGAATTATTTCAAAACTAGCAAATATTCTTAACAAAATTACTTCTAATACAGAAATTCTTTCTGGTAAATAATTTTTTGATACAATATAATTACCATACTAATAATACCTTTGGCCACTAGTATTGCTTGAACAATTGACTTAATAATGTAAATAGAGGACAAGCGCATTAACAAATGTGTAAGATATCAAGGGTGATCACAGACTGCCACCCTTTCTCGGAAGGAGGAAGAAAGGGACCTTATGGTTTCCTGTTCAGCTCAGCCTCACCTTTTGGGGTGGGCCTTACCATTGGCATCTGTAAGAGCAACTGTGTGAACTAGTTAAACCTTGCTCCTCCTGAAAATACAATGCTTGAGCCCTACACCACGAAGCAACATCATAAGCAGCAAGGCAAAAATAGGGCTTCATTAGGGTCAAAATTCTCACCCAATACCAGTTTCACACACATGGATAAAAATTCCCTAACTGAAGGAATACCAGGGCTAGTAAAGGTTGAGTTGAGAGGGGAAAAATAAAATATGCACCACACCTAAAAAATCTGTAAATAGAAGAAACAAAATGTTGGCAAGAAACACCATACCAACCCCCTCAAGCGGTCTTACGGAAAAATCTTGAAAAAGAGAATCAAACTCCATCCCCAGAAGAAAGTTCAAGGTGGAAGCCCAGCTGCAATAGGCATGAACTCAGCATGTGCCATGCAAACCCAGCATAATATAGAAACCACATGTAGTTAAAGCAAACAGAAATCTCACAAAATCCTTGAAACCCGAAAAAAGTGAAACCCAAAGCAAGAGTAGCCACGTAAAGCAAAAACGTGAAATGAGGCCAACATGCATGAAAATGGAAGCTGAGCACCAAGGCATGGGCCTGGAATAAACTCCCAAGCACAATCAAGAGAGTTGTACAACTTGAAAGGAGATAAACAATGCTGAAAGCAATACTAAACAATTTCATGAAAGTTATTTCTTGGGCTGTCATCCTTTGTCAAACAATGATAGAGAAGGAAACTCTGAAACACAACCTGAGCAGATTGCTTAAGTCAGTAGCACACAAAAGCAGGCACATGCCACTATGAAGCAAACACAAATAGCATGGAAACACTATGGAGACAATTTTCTTAAGTAAAGTCCAGACAAATAAAACCCTCAAATTAACTGTCCAGTGCAGAGTATTAGCAAGCTGATAAGTGAACTTCAGGACTAAAAGTGAGGATAGCCGACTCCTTCAACCATGTGTGATATGACAAGGCTTTATCATACTTATATTAATATATTTTTGTAAGCTATTAATACCATTTGTATTTATATAAAAAATATTGCTACTGCCATACTCTTGTGGGAAAAATTTGTGGATTTAACAAAACAAAATTCTATATCCAATGAACATTTCATAATAAAGATTTTACTGCATTTAAAGATACTGAAAACCTAGGAAGGGAATTACTGTGTATATATATATATATATTTATTACAATACCTCTGAAAGTGATTCTGCAACTCTGACAGTGTATCCCCAGTAATAGCCTGCTGTCAGTCTAGGCTCATCAGGCGACACAACCACGCCATATGGTTTACGCATTACTTGAGCTTCAGGCGGCATCTTCACCGTAACTCTCAGGCCAGGTTCCAGCTTTTGTTGAATTTCAACATCCACACCAAGACCAACATCCACATATGACTCACACTTGCTGCCCTTCTCCAAAACTACTCCTTCTCTGAAATATGTTTTTATTAAAAGGCAGTGGATTTAATAAAACTTTCTATTAATTATTACCCAAAAGTATAAATTTATGTAATGAACTTATTCAGAATAAGAACATTATTAATTAATAGAAAACACTGTGCCAGAATGGCTATATAGCAATGAATATCATGAATTACTCTTAAAAATTTAACTCCTGACCATCTCATAATACAAACAATACAAGAAAATCCACAGGAGCCGTAACGAGGATGCAAACCTATGTGCTGGGTATTCCCAGATGCACACTCTAAACAACGACACCACGACAAACAAAATGTAATATTTTAAAAAATACAGCTATCCTTCTATGAATCTATCTATACAGTATGTCTGTCTGTGTCTATATCTATCTAAATCTATCTATATCTCTCTCTGAACTGAGGTGAAAATGGAGTGGGTTTAGAGGCGGTGAGAGCTAGTCATTAGAGGTGGTGGGAGCTGGTCCAAGAGAGTGGGGTCAGTGGTTATGGGTGATTTTGATGGGCATGCAGTGAAGGTGGAGGGAGGGGAGAGAATTATCAGGAGGAAGTGCCAAACTTTATCAATCAGTAATGATGGGGGAGGGGATGGAGGATTTACATTTATTTAAGCCTAAAAGATCTTAACTAAATAGTAAACAATAGATAATGTTCAAAGTAGACTCAATCAGGTTATATTGAGGTTATCTTGAGATGATTTCAGGGCTTAGTGTCCCCGCGGAATGGTCCTCGACCAGGCCTCCGTTTTGTTACACCCCCTTCCAGCTGTCTAACTCCCAGGTATCTATTTACTGCTAGGGAACAGGGGCTTCAGGTTGAAAGGAACTCTGCCCATTTGTTTCCGCCTCCACCGGGGATTGAACCCGGAACCTCAGGACTACGAATCCGAAGCGCTGTCCACTCAGCTGTTGGGCCCCCTTGACGGGCCCCCATATGTTAGGGGCACATAAACTATTCTTCCAAAAAACACTTTAACCCTAATACTGTACATTGATTCAATACACAAAATAGTAAATTACCTGTATTCACACCACTGATGAGAGAGTAAATGATGAGGAGAGTTAAGAGCATTAAGTACACCAACCATCCTCAAATAAGAATGGAATGGAAATAAATATTTCCGGAGGTACTGTGGACACTCTTGATATTCCAATAACATCCGCATCATTTCTGGACACAAAAAAATAAAACAAATATGAAAACTAAGGTGTAATTAGTATACTAAGAGATAATTCTATAAGCATAATGGGCTCGAGGCTTTTCAACACCCCTCCCTCTAAATGTAATGACTGCCTAGGTCAAACTGGGAGCTGCAAGCACCATTAGCCTGAGTGATCAGACCCTCAACCTCCGAAGAAAGGTGTTTAAGAATCATGACTACATCATACACTACTTAAAAAAGTAATAACATCAACAAATTTGTATTTTCTGGGATTATTTTACCACTCCTAATGCATGCATCTCATCAAGATTGCAGCCTCCCTTCCATGTGTAAATACAGTTTAAAATAATTTTAAAATTCTAAAAGAAGTTGATAACACCCCTCTTGTCTCGGTTAACCCAAAAGCTGGATTGATAAAACATATCGTTTAATTTCGTAATCACGGTGCATTCGATTATTACATGCCAAGAAACTTTTTAATCAATATTTATACTCTTACTATTAACTTTCAAAATACATGTCAAATTTTTCATTAGATTATGCGCACAAAATATAAATTTGTGAATTTTGCAGTGTACAACCTATTCGTGCACTGCCAGGAAGATTTTAAATTGCAAAGTTTTTATAATTAGCTCTGTGGACTAATAAGAATTTTCTTGTTTTTTATCTATACTGTTCTATGGAATGGAATGGTTTATACTGTACATGCATATAAAGTGGTTTTGGGTGAGATACAGCTCTGCTTGGATCCAGAGGTAACAAAAAATGCCACTAGTATTGTTCTGGAACTGATCTGTTACATCACATTACCTATATTTTCACATATTCATACAGCAAACATATGCACAAGGTGAAACACGGTAACAATCAACTGTTGTATTTTCATAGCAGTCAAAATAATATTCAAAACTTAGCAAAAATACAACAAATAATGACAATCGCATTGTAAAAGATTTTTGTATATTCAAGCCTTTTAATTAAATATGAGTACTCAGTAGCTCTTAGGATTTTTATGTTGCTAAGTATTCAATTTACTGAATTATGCTCTGGCTCAAAATGTGTAGGGTTACATTCAGAGTACAGGTATTTTTAAAACTAAATAAACAAACTGTAAGTGCACTTATATGGTGTTTTTCAAACATTTTGTATCTCTTCTATTGCTTCAATGATGGAAATCTTCTAATCATTAATAATTTTCCAAAGAAAGTTTAAAGAGCTTTTTAACAAAGATTCATTGGACTGTCAACCTAGAGGATGGACAGCAGTTAAAAATTCTATGAACTCTTTCTTGACATTTTTCTTGGCAATCTTCCATCAGTGACGTCATTAAAGTTGTAACAAATATTTGTATTAACCCTATATGTTGTGTATACCATACTATACAGTACATACATACTAAATATATAAAAATAATTATTTCAAAGTATAAAGCCAAAGATGGAATGTGTGCAAGATTCATAGCAAGGTAAAGCCACCCTCACTGAATCAAAATGGAAGAACTACAACATGTATTACACCACTGTACAGACCTTGCAGAAAGTAGATAGTGAATTTTCATAGCCACATACATATCCAATTTGTATTCTGGCTCATGAATGTTACAAAATATACTTTACATGAAAATAAATCAATAAATCAACATTTTGTAAAAAGAAAATGGTGGTAAAATTATAAATTGGGAACTATGGCATGACCACAGTCAAATGAAAAGGATTTGTATATATTGGAATTTATGGTATGGCTATATTCTAATGAAAAGGAGTAGTATCAAGCTGGAATTCATGGCATGACCATATACTAATGAAACAGTAGTTGTAACAAATATCAGAAAAATTAGTTGGTAATGTGGTTACTGAAAATCCTCATCAATTCAACATACCTAGACAATCTTTAGTATTACTGGAAGTAACAGAAGCAAATTTACGTTTCCGGCTACGGTCATCATATACCACAATCTCATCAATGGAATATATATTAGCAGCTCTTGCAATCTGGCCCACTACATACGTCCTAAGCTCATCCTTGATGCAAGTTTCTTCTAGGATAGATGCAGGCACAGCAATGCTTATGGTGTAATTGCGAGGCTTGTTGGGGCTTGGTACTTCCTCAAAGCTGTCTTCTGAGAAATTATCCTTCTTTGGTTTATTAAAAACACTCTTGTCTTGGAATTTTCCTTGTCTAGGAGAATTCCACTGTCTAAATCTAGATCCATCATCATTATGCCAATTTTGGTTTTGTTTGTTTCTTGTATAAAGGGTCTCACCACCTGCATAGTGAGTTTCACCACTCATCTTACTCTTGAATGAATGTGGTTCATTATATTCTTCTGAATTGTCATTAGAGAACTTTCTATGTCTCTTAAAACTATCATTATCATGGGTTTCACTGGCAGACATCTCTGGAAGCTGAAACACAGAAAACATATATTTACATGTGTTTAATAAGCTATCTATAAAAACATAAATTGCACTCATATAAACGCACTCCATCATATTCAACTCTGAAAACTTCATATCATCTACTAAATCCCACTCCTACCGACATTTAGTTTATGAAGCCTAACCTTAATTAGGCAATGATATATATCCTATAATGTAAAAAAAAAAATGTGAATTACATAAATTCTTTAGGCTATGCATTTTTTTTTAATTTTCGAATTTTGTTCAGTGATGTAACACTGCAGCTAGCTGTCTGGGACACAGCCTTAGTATAGGTCTATAGTCTCAAGAATTTATACAGTATATAATTATTTGTAATTAATTACACATCAAGAAAGATCATAAATATTATTCTAAATTGGCCAACAGGTACTTGTCACAAAAGGCTTATTTTTTTTAACTATGTATATTTGGCCTTACCACATCCCACATAACAAGCCACCAGACCAAGTTATAGACATTTAGCAGTCTGGTAACTAGACAATTCTGCGCCAGTTTCTAAAGTACCTAATTGACTTTGTACTTTCATCACATGTTATAGTCACATTAAGCCAATGATCCTTTATATCACTAGTATCCAGTACTTATCACTAAGCAGTACAGCAGGCAACTAGAACGTGATCAATTGAACTAATGTAACATCTCCGCACTGAACCCTGCACTTGACTCAAGCACTGTGCAATACCGTACTTGCATACAGATTCATGGAAGCACTGCATTATAATAATAATAATAATAATAATAATTTTTATTTAGGCAAAGGTACATACATAAAGAGATTTTACAAAGTTTGTTGGCTTTATAGATAAGAGCTAGTACATACAAAGCCTAAAGCCACTATTACGCAAAGCGTTTCGGGCAGCACAGACAATTATGTGGCTACTGGACCAAGGCATGCTGCACGAGATAGGTTAATATATGATACAGGTGGATACATTATTACTATATTAGAGGGATGCTCAGACAGTTCTTGTTATATTACACTAACAAATAGTGTAGCAGGTGAGACAAATGTTGCAGCATGCTGTACCTGCTCCACGCCGCCTTGTTTACGCGGGCACGGGTCGAATCGTATATAACCGTTTCGGATACCGTCGGTTCAGTACACAAACAACCCGTTCGTTCAATATTAGCCGTAAATTCCTAAACTGTTAAATTTTAAAATAAAGCTTGAAAAAATCATCAAGGCAAAAAGGGGAGGGGGGGTACAATTGACAAGCCACCGGCTTCCTGTTCTCGTCGGCTACTAGTGTGTTAGTAGTGACCCTGAGGTAAATTTTATGTCGCACGTCGTTCTTTTCACCTTCAAACACTTGTGTGTTCGTTTATACCTATCCTTTATATTTTACAATATAGTTTTATTTTATAGTTTAATCAAATAATTTTCCCCAGTGTGTGTGTGTTGTTCCGCTCGACCTGAGGAATATATATATTAGCGTGGTAGTCTGCGGGGACGGTCAGCTGTTGAGGGTAAACAAACATGGCCAGCCTCAGCCCTGATGACTTTGGCAGACTCCAGGTACAAATTATTAGTCATCACTTTTGGCTCACTTTTTTATATTTATATCGGCAGATGCAGCTTGTATTTTAATATGTGTGCTTAGTTTGGAATCCTCTCAGACTTCGTTTTAGTGCATATAATAAAGCGACTTTTTCGATGCGTAATTGACTGGATGACTTTTATAGTGGTTACTATGGTAGTTCTTAATTTTTCTACATTATATAGTTGCATACCTTGAACTATTTAGTTCACATTTGATCATTGTTGTTGTTATGTCAGATTATAAGAATTCCAAGTGAACATTCTTAAGTGGATCACTTCCTGCATTTTTTGGCTTGCCAATTATGCAAGATGGAATTCAGTACAGTTTTTTCTTCTTCACATTTAATTTGTTTTCGTTATTGGATAAGATCTTAAGGCCTTCCACCCACTCCAACCTTAGCCAAATATTGCTGGATATGTTGGCTTGTGTATATAATGTTTTAGTGTACTGTAATTATTGATTGTTTTAAAAATGCATTTATTTGATTAGTTCATTTACTTAACCTCCAAGTTCTTTTTCCTTATAGGCCTAAAGCTCATAATTAGGATAATTTCTTATGATTAGACTTGAGAGGGCCTATTTTGTGAGTGACCTTGAAACTGATTTCAGATGCCATAAAATTTTAAGAATATTACATGATCAATGTGAGAATATTACATGATCACTATGAGAATATTACATGATCAATGTGAGAATGTAACCTGATCAATGTCAGAATATAACCTGATCAACACGAAGATATAACCTAAGTTGCCTTGTTGTTAAATGATGGATGGTTCCCAAAGAAGTGGAATACTACTCTGATTATTTCTTCTTGTTCTTATGTTTTGATAAGGTCAGTGATATTAGGACTATCTGCCTCAGCACATGCAGATCATGTATAAAAAGTACTGTATTCACAAAGCTTTTGACATGAGTTTATAGGGATAGACAATTTTTCTTCCATTGTTGGGGGCAAAGAGATTATGTGCTTTGTGCCACCAGTTGGACCTGCATTCTGCACACTATTACCTAATCCAGAATAATTTCACTTTTTATTTCAACAATGTTGTAGGCTGAGTTGCATACAAAACTAGTTGTGGCCCAGTGAAGAGGATTTCATCCTTCAATCTTCTGACATCCTTATTTTTAACTGTCTTCTATACAGTACTTCCATGCTAAGGTGTGCCTCAGTTCTCTGGATTTTGCTATGTAGTTTAGCACAAGGTCTTGAGTTATGCACTTTTATTTGTTATCTAACTGCTTTCAGTCGTGTGTGTGCGAGATAGCAATTGCTTATTACTAATATAAGTGGAGATGTAATTTGACTTTTATATAGTTAGAGCTGTGACAGACAAATATTCTACACGAGCAAGAATTCATAAAAGTATATTTGATTTCAGACCCAGCTCTTAGAATTACGAGAAAAAAATTACAGCTTGGAGGACAGTCTACGCAAACACAAAAAGGGTTGGTTTTGTAGAAATTGTTTAAAATTCACTGACTGATCTCTGGTATCTTTCTTAGCCTATTGATAAAATTTTTAGTATTGAGTAGAATGAAATATATTCCGACAGTGTTGTGGGTTAAATAGTTTTGTGATATTGTGTTTTTACATAAGTAGTGTTTAGTGCTGTACATTTTACTGTTTCATTGTGGTTCTTTAAGAACTGACAGACACGAAGACAAGGCTACAGAGCTTGGAAGAAGAAAATGGCCGCTACCAGACCTTGATTAGGACATCAAAAAAGGCATCAGAGGTTGAGCTGTTAGTTCGTGATAATGGTTATCTTCGCAATAAATTAAGAGACCAAGAAGAAGACTTCAGACTTCAAAATAATACACTTTTACAAGAGCTGTCACGAGTGAGTAATATAAATCAATTCATCTTGCTATACAGTATATAAATTTGTATTGTAGTTTCTAATTACAGTGGCTCATTACACTGTCTCTTAAGTGGTTTTGATTTTTTTTTAATGTGCTCACTAGTTTCATAATTTTTTTCTTTACACTTGCATCTTTATTTTTTGTTTTCAAACAAATATGATTAGGGTATATGATGTATATGATATAGTATTTGATGATCTCTTTGATATATGTATTGTTTAGTAATCACTAAGGGGATTTTTTTGCTTAATAAATGAGAAATTTTAATATTTAGTTTTATGCCCCAAAATATTAAAAACTTATTTTTATTAGATATATTTTTAAGATATATTTTATAATATTTTTTATTATAATATTTTTTATTAATATTTTTAAGATATATTTTCTCATCTTTTCTCATATTTTTTATCTGCCGAGTTGCATGAAACTTATACACCTTACAGAACGTAAGCCTTTCTGTAAGGGTGCAAATTTTGGAGGAAATTGGTTGATGTCAACTTCAAACTCGGGTGGCAGAATCTTTAACTTTATTTATTGTCAAGAAATATAAAATTGACATTCCTCTTTCATTTTTTTTTTCAATTTACATGAAATTTACACCTTATATGTAGAGTTTACGTCTCTACAATCTCTATAAACACTTTATTCCTAAGTTCATTTATTTATTTTATTAATATTTGTAAACATGAAATATTGGCATATACAGTGGTACCTCGCATAACGAATTTAATCCGTTCCATGTTCGTCATGTGAAACGGACGTCATACAAAACGAGTGTCCCCCATATAACCAGTGTGATGCACTGTGTTTATTGTGAAATTTCCCCAGTGTGCATGACATCAAATGTTCCCCAAAATATAATTTTTCTTTGCAAAATGATAAATTACCATCCCTGAACATGTCTATGTAAAAATAATTACCAAATTCCACTTACTTTGGCTGTGAGGGCGTGGACAAGGTGCGCTGTGACGTCATCAGGGGCTGGTCGCCCGTGTGTGAAGCTCCCAGACACGGTCGCGCAGGCCATTCAAGCACCGCGTGTTGCCACAAATATATTTTCAAATATTTTTTCTATGCATTTCCAAAGCGGTTTTATTTGTTTCTTTTATCGTATATGATGCATATTTGTGACCTTTACAATATGTATACAGTAGAATGTTCATAATTTTCCATGAAACTGTGATACATGTGTCAGTAATGTGTCCACATTAAATGTTTGTCACAATATTACGTGGTAAAAATTCACTAAAATTACAATATGTACAGTTTCACATACTATTTACACAGTAACACACTGTATTACACACTCAGTACTTTGGAGGTGCGTAATAGTCAACGAAGTAGTCCATGGTACACAGCGCGACTTTGCTCTCCTTGCACCAGCTACAGATAGATTTTCGTTTCCTGTTTCATCGTTCTGTGTGCTTGCAAATAACACACTCGCGTGCACCCTTGGCTTTAGTACTTGTAGGTGGTATGTAGCCAAGCTTGTAAAGCATAAGGTAGTATTGAAACGATTATAGGAAAAGCTCAATTTGTAAGGTAGTCTTGAAAAGATCGCTTTGTAAGGTCCCACACAGGAAAAGATTCAGCTAGCCTCAAAGAGTGTCCATCAGTCAGGAAGAGATTCAGGTATTCTTGAAAATATCAATGAACACCACCACCATGGAAGCCGCTAACACTGTTCATCTATGCTACTTGTATCAGATGCATCATCACTGAACGCAGAAAACGATTCATCTATGTATCATCTACATACATTAGAGATGGCAAGGGTGGGGCTCAGAGCTACACCTGGATACACTCGCTGTATCATCCTCATAGGTGCTGTATCACTGGCATCCGACCGTTGTGTTAAGCCCTTATTGCGCCTAGCTTCACCAATGTTATGACCCTTATGTTCTTCAAACAATAGGGTCTGAATTGCACCGACTGAGCAAAGTCTTTCTACACCGTGTGGGACAGGTGTTTGAGAGCCAGAGGCACGTGTGCCACAAATGGTTGCTCACGCACTACTAACCCAGCCAGCAGCCCTTGTTTTTCATATTCGTTATAGCAAAAGGTTCGTTCAGTGTTTGTTGGGTAGGCTGCTCCATTATGACAATCTTTCTTTGTTTCAAATGTGTTCCATTTGTTTTGTATTTGTCACTTACGTCTCAATAATGGAGCAGCCTACCCGACAAACACTGAACGAACCTTTATGACATTTGTCCATTTTTTCAAATTGTTTCAACAGTTCTTTTTTTTTTTTTTTTTTTTTTTTTTTTTTTTTTTTTTTTTTTAAGAAACATGGAGCAGCCTACCTGCCGACCACCAAACGAACCTTTTGCTATGAGACAAATGAAAAATAAATATTGAACACATTTGAAGAAAGGAAAATGTCATAATGGTTTACTCAGTGTATGTAAGGTAGGCTGCTCCATTATTGAGACGTAAATGACAAATAAAAAACAAATGGAACACATTTGAAACAAAGAAAGATTGTTATAATGGAGCAGCCTACCTGCCGAACACCGAACGAACCTTTTTGACATTTGTTATATATCAGACATTTCATTTCTTTTTTCCTACAAAAACGTCAATGCTTTGCAACATCTCAGCAGTCACCCTTTTATATCCCAGCATCATTAGCATCTTTAAACAAGAACAACATAATTTATGTGCATCGTCGGAGGCGTCTAAGAATGAGCAAGAAACAGCGCGACCCCACCATGTGGTGTTGACGTTACTCAAACCAGCGTTCGTCATACGGGACGATTTGATGCCGATCAGGCCGTTCGTTACCCAAAATATTCGTCTTTTGGGGCAATCGTTATGCGAGGTACCACTGTATTTTTGGGGAACTTTGACTAGTATTAGTAAAACTAAACATATTTTTGATAATCCCCCTTATACAAATCCTTTATTATATGCTAATGTGATAGATGAGTGTCATAGAAATGATTTCATTTGAAACTTGTGGTTGTAGAGAATTATTGAAAATGTGTAAAATACGTTGGGAAAAAAAACTCCCTTTCTATTTAGGGTGCTATACTGAAACGTAGAACAGTTGCAGCCCTTTTTATATACAACTACTGTAGTAATAATAATAATAATAATAATAATAATAATAATAATGATAATAATAATAATAATAATATAATAATAATAATAATAATAATAATACAATAATAATGTCTACAAATTTGCTTTAAAATTTGATTAAAGATGCAAGTTTTTAACATGTTTTGTATCTTTATATGTAAAATTGTTTGGCAATCATGTATAATCTTAAATGTGACTTTATCAGTTGGTTGGAGAAAATGAGCGATATGAAAGGCAAGTGGAAGTGCTGTGTGGTGACCGGAGTGGCAACCAGGCAGCCGATGGCGATCATGGCTCGACTGATGACTCAAAGGAAGTAAGGCAACTGTAATTTTTATAAATACATATTCATTTAATTAAGGAAAAAAATATTCTAATTTCTTTGTATGTTTATGTGTGGTTTGTATGTATATATTTATATAAATATGACAAAGTCTGACCACAAAGGAAAATAAGATAGGAAATTCCTTAAGGACATTTGTTTTAATCAATGCATCTTCAGAAGAATGAACTTTACAAGTCAGTAGTGGTGAAATTTCTTTAGAAAGTTTGATAATACTTCTAGCCACTTAGAAATTTTCTTTCAATCTTTTCCAACAGATCGTCAATTTAAGTCATTTTGTCCATTTTATAATACCTCCTCTTACTCCTACATATTTTAGCTACTCTTGCTGGCAGATGATTTTTCTACTAGCAAATACAGTAATTAAATAGACAAAAAATTAGCACAAAAATCCTGGAGTTAACATCGGTAGTACAGAGGAAGAGATTACTTGATGTGGAGATGTCCAGTGTCTGTAGGATTGGAATACCAACAAAAATTAGTATATGTACTGTGTAATGTGCTATTTATACTAATGTAAGTTTAGTAAAACTTTGCAGCTATTAGTGAAGAAATATGTTCAGCTGAATTATTATTATACAGCATGATGTTGATCTGCAATTCATGGAAAAATGCTGTCCCGTACTTGGAAAAAGCAAGCTGATAAGCAAATTTGTACATTTTTGAAAGGTTTTTATTACAAGCAGATCCAGATTTTAGAGGTCCCACTATATTTACAGTATAGATTCAGAATGAATTTGTGAGTTTGTAAATTTGAGTTTGTTTTGCTCATGCGTATTTCCTTTAGGTTTTACGTCTCCGCGGAGAGCTCACAGCAATGGAGAAGAAGTTGTATGAGACGGAGAAGCATGCAGAAGTAGAATGTCATGCCCTAAAAGAAAAGATGTCTTCCTTAAACTTGCATATCACACAGTTGACCAATATTCTGAAGACACATTCCATACCTGTGTAAGTTGGGCTTGAGAACCAGTATTAATTGTGCAGCTTTTAACCATCACATGATTATTTTGTTCTGTCATGGAATACTGTATCATAAAGCATAGTTAAAATTTCATGTTATCAATTTTCTATACTTTAGCTATTTTAATACAGTACAGTATTTAAATGTTTGTAATTTAGTAGAGATGTATTGAAAACCGAAAGTATTTTATACGTTCTAGATTTAAACAAAATTAAACATTGACCAGAAATTTAAATATTTATTGCAAAATAAGACTTTTTATATTTAAGTGACGAGGGTGAGATCAGTTTAGCTCAAGGTGGAGGAGTGATCTTCAAGAAACTGACACTTCAAGATGACGATGGTCTTGAGACACACTTGGAGGGACCTAGTGGTAATTATATATTTTTGTTTGAAAACCATTCTCTTAATATTTAGTAATGAATATTCTCCAATTATAAGATACTTTGTGGTTGCACAGTAGAGTATACCATACATGGATCCTGTTACTGACTTGGTTATTTGGTGTTCTTCTACCTTATTCGTGAACTGCACTCTCATTCCTCATCTTTAAAACTGTTCTCTCCTCCCTCGTCTTGAGGCATCATCATTTGCCTAATAAATGCTTGCCCTACCTTTGTGATCCCCAAGGATTCTTATACTGTAATATAGCTCATTTTATATGTTTTAGTCATCCATGGTAGTTCATAATTTTACTCTTGCAATCAAATTCCTGGTACAGTGAAAATTAACAATAAAATAAATTAGGTAAAGCAGTGGAGCAATAAACATTAAGGTAAAGGCTTTAGAGGTGAATACATAAGTTCACCATTGATTAAGTGGGAAGAGTTGTAGAACAAATTTTCAATGAAAAATGTGGCAAATATTTATTGAAAGGTAAATTGAGTCATGTTGAAGGTAATTGATATACAAAAATTTCAATTATGTAGTTGGGACAAACATGGTGGTATAAGCTTTAAGATTTATGAATATTTAAAGTATTTTGTGTTTTTAGAGACACTTCAACACTATCAAGAGAGAACTAGCCAGTTACAGTGTGAGGTGGAACGAGCATTTGACCAGCTCAAGGGGGAAAAGGAGTTGGTATTGAATTTGACTTCAGAGAAGGTCAAATTACAACAGGACCTAAAGATTGCTGATGAGAGGTTAGTTTTTTAATTATACTCTGTTAGTCCATATACTAGTGACCAAATATGCATTACACTGTAGTTTTATAAATGTGCCTAATGGCTTTGCAGTTTTGATTGCTTGTTAGTGAAGCACATTATTAGGTATGGGCTTTATTATTGATGCTATATATTTATGTAGGATGAAGCAATATATATTTATATACTGTATATTGAGTGATTTCACAATTACACTGTGTGCAAGTTTTAAGTCGAGTCCAATGTACAAGTTTATTCTTGTATCTGATTTATATATAATTAATATATATTTCCTTTTGAACCACTGTACTTAAGGCAAAACAAGTACTGTAGCTTATGTTTTAAAGAGATTGAGGATGGGGTTTTAATTTTGTAATTTTACAGTAATAGAGCAAACCCATGATCCAAAAATTATAGTACTTAAAGCAACCATTGATTGAACATATAAAAATGGAACTTCACCTTCCTCTTCTCCCCCCCCCCTCACCAAAAAAAAAGTTACTAGTTGTCTCACTCTGTTACCTCCCTTCCTACCATCCTCCCACCCAGTCTCTCTTCTGACACCCAACAATCCACGCCCTCTCCCCCTCAATCATTCGTGGGTGGCCTTTTTCATGTAGAATAATGACCGAGATTGAGGCTGGTTGCTTGACTGCGACTGCCTAACAGACTCCATGCCTTACTGAGGTTGTAGAACATATTGAGAATGCCTGCCTGCCTATGCCTGCTATACAACAGCAATGGCAGGGGAAGGTAAGTAATTGTCAGAAGAAAGCACCAATCCATTATGACTATAGCACTTGGAAGGGATGATGATGATGATGATTTAGGATGGAATGAAGGAAAAATGGTGCCCATAGGTGAAGGAATAAATATAAGAATTGTGTAGCCAACGGATTTAGAAGGCAGACGTCAAGGAAAGCCACAAAACAACTAGTGTGCTACTGACACTAACTGTGCCAACACTTGGATGTGAAATTACCTTTGAGTGTAAAGAGGATTAGCTCTCTTATGAGCATGATCACAGTACTGCTGACTGATTAGCACAAAGTGTACTCTTAAGTACTATTATTTTTGAATAATAGGTTGTAATGAAATTGTGCTGCTAGTTGTACAAGTATTTAAGATTATTCATACATCAACCATTTAATGACTACATTTGTAGTAATTTTTAACCATTGGTTTTAGACTGTAATGTATGTTTAAATCTATAAAGCCTTGTTCCTACTGAGACCTCATCATTGAGGGAGTCAGCCACATGACTAGTATATCACTAGGAAACCCTGCTTCAATAGGTTAGCACAGGCAGTGGCCCAAGCTGCGCAGAGTAGTGAGCACGACCAGAAGCAGCAGCAGGAGGCTGAGAAAAAACTGAGGGAAATGGAAGAACGATTAAGGTAAGTCTTCACGCTTATGCCTTGGTTTTGTAGGAATTCTAGGAGCTTCCCAGCGCAATTTAAATGTGATCACCGTGTGCCAAGTTAAAAATAGGTTTACCTTCTATTATCTAAATAGGATTGTAGAGCCAAATATATTTTGCAGTGTATCTGTTATGTTCTGAAAGCAAAAATTATCTTAATATTTGTACAATATGAATTTTGACCTTAGAGTACATTAAACCATAGGTGTCGATGAATAGATTTGTATATTATAATTTGATAGCTCAAGTATATTTGCTGAATACCTATGTAATGCTCATAATTGTGTGGGGAACCGAATAATAGCAGGGTTTACTGTATATACCTGATGTTGGAACCATGAACTAGTCTTAGATGGAGATTTGAGCTTTTACTGTCCTGCAGTTTACCTTTTACTACAGAGACACAGACTTTTTTATGTACTCCATCCAAGACCTTGATAGTGTGCATTAAATACACTAGTATTACTAGGACAAAAACAAAGCAGTTTCACTTGCATTATTTATATGGTCAGCTGGTAAGTTATGCATAGCTACTAGTTTAGCAAATGCAGTTGTGTATTTCAGCTGTAGAAATGGTTCCTCTTGGATTCTCTTTGATGGAGTTTTGTACAGTATTACTGAATCATGAATGAACCTTGAGGGACTCATGAGTCTCTCAAGACTTGCCTTTTATTATTTTATGTGTTGTTGTAAAGTGCACTCATCTACTCTGACACCTTTCAGCTTATTTTATTTGAACTGCTGAGCTAATTTGATCAGATAAGGCTTGTTTGTTGTAATAGCAAATTTCATTAAAATAGTTATATATATGTAATTAGTGTTATGCTAAGCAATTTACATCATTTGAGATCTTTCATCAACTAATAAAAATAGGACATGGCTGCTACAACAGCTAAGATTCAAAATGCTGCCAGATCATTTATTTGGCAAGTTTTTTTTATCAAAAAGGATTTTCTTTGTGAAACTTTTGAATATAATAGAATATTTTTGTGATTGCTCCAGGTGAGTGATTTATGTTTATTGCTTGTTCTTAATACTACATGTGTTTGTCATTTATTTTCTCATACATTTTGTTCAAGTTTCACAAAGTTTATAATATCCTCATTTGTAACATTGTTTGCAAATTTTGTTCAATGTTTTTGTGGTTCATTACCTTGCATATACAGTGCTGAAGTTATTATAGTTGCAAATAACATTGTCATTTCTTTAATTGTAGGACAGAGCTGGACGTAATGCAGACATCTCTTGAAGAGACTTATAATGACCTAGTGCATGCCAAGTCCAGCCTCAGTGAGAAGACTGCACACTGTGAAACTCTTTTAAAGTCAGTGGAAGAACTGAAACAAAAGCTGGAAGCTTCAGAGAAGATGGTACAAGAGAATCAGAATCTTCTTACGAAAAAAGAACAGAAACTTGAAGGTATTAGTTGAGAGTACAGTAATTTTAACTAACCTCTAAGAAATGTATGGCATTAAGCACACCTTACTGAGCTGTAAGGTGTGGGTTAATATTTAAAGGTATTTGTCTCAAGTTAAATACTGAACATTTATTGTGCTTTTAATATTGCTCTACTTCTGTTATTGTATATTTGCCTTTTTATATAGTTACTTCCTTGGCTAATGCTGCACCCATATGGAGTCATGCTCTGCAAAGTTAATAATTTATAGTGACATCTCAGTTTGAAAATAAATGGTAAGTTATTATTTGATGGTTAATCCTGAGATTTTAATTACAGTATATGTATTATGTGACTGGTGACCAGATAAATATTCTGGATATACAAACATTAACTAAACCAGATATGATCTCTCCTTTATGCAAACAATCCTGTAATTATCTAATCACCCATCTTAAAATCCCGAGATTATTCATTCTGGAGACCAATCAGTCATCTTGGAGATCAGTATAAGGCTGGTGAGGCTTACCCTGGTGGCCATAGGTCTGGCGGTGTCATTCAGTAGCCCAGCTGAAGCTCTCAGTAACCCTGATTTCTGCATTGAGAGTAGTGAAGTTTGGTAGACAAAACTGATTAAATTTTGTCCAAATTACCTAAAGGTCTTGGTTAAAGTAGTCCAGATAAGTAAGCTCTAACAGTATTTATTAGGATGCCTGTAAAGACCTGGAATAAGTTAAAACTGCTCATAAACATTCAAGGTTATTAAATTTAATAATCTCCAGTAATTGGCTGATAGGCTTATAATTCCAAGATTAGCCTTATGCTTGTAACACAGGTCGGTATTGGCTCTACTCTGTCTTTTACCCTGTCCGTGAATATGCTTACTGAAACTTAACCGAATTCCAAAGGACCCCAGAGTATACTCTATAGTCAAGTCCCACGCCACATGGTCTTAGTCGTTCGATCGCCTAAGCTTCTACAGCCACGTGACGTCGTACTAGGTTTTCTAGCAAACTCAAGGGATCCCTTTACGCCGCCACCACTAGACCATTAACCAGAAGCATCAATTAATCGGGGTCTGGACCGATTAATCGATCATTAAAACCTTGGGGCTTTATCCCCAAATTACTTGGAAAAGGGGGGAAGAATCTACGTTAAGTGTGGGAATTATAGCAAACAAAGGAAGGGATAAATGAATTCGTAAACTTTGTTAGGCTTGTGGCCCAACTAAAAACTCAGACTCGTGGAGACCATGTGACAAGGACATGAGAAACATGAAATGGAATTAATAAAATACAAATAACAAGCTAATTATTTATTAATGCAAGTCTAAACAACAGCTAAAGGAAATATCACTCCCTATTCCTTAACACTCCCTATCGAGGCATGAGATGAACTATTTCCCTATACAAAACTGTAGCAAACTATACCTTTTAATATGACCAGCTGATGTTAGGCTGATCTCTTTGGAGAGGCGGGTGGATGACCTCCAGTTGTTGACCAAGACCACACTGATCCTACCTCACTCTGCCTTCCTCACTGAAGCCAGAGGGGTATTCCTATGCCAGGTTACTAGTTTACTAGCAGGGTTTAAGTTTAACAACTAATCTTTGTTGCACTGAACAACCCAGATGGTTGAAATCTTTTAAACTGAAGGTAATTGCACAGGCATCTTAGGGTAAAGCTAATTCCAATTACAATATGGCTATTTGACCTTTGAGAATTACTAACTGTGGAAGCCTTTGGTGACCCTTGACCCAGGGTTGCCAAAACCAATCCGCGTCAAAGACTAGTCCTAGCTAGTGACGTCACTGATGGTGACTTTCTCAGTATTCCGACAATTGAGAATACTCTTGATACTTTAACAGGAATACTATTGAATACAATTTCAATGAAGACTTGAATTTCTCTAAATTACTGAATTCTGTAAAATAATTCATTATACGTTGCTTAAGACAAAGGCGCCGGCCATTTTGTAATCTTACCCGCTAATCCCAGGAGAGAGATCCTATGCTCCCCGAGTCAGGTCAACTACCGCCTGACTCCAACTTTAGTACAAGAGCGTATACCACTGCCTCCCCTACAATTACTTATTTTAAAACAGCTTCAGTTGTTACATGCTATTGGATATAGATTGTTTGCTGAAGGAGCTTTTTTTTGTATAGTTCTTTGATTATGTAAACCAGTTGACATGTCTGCTAATAAACAAGAATCTTCAGAATTTTAAATCAAAATTAAAGGCATATCTTTTTTTTTATTATTATTTATATATATACAAGAGTTCTTACATTTTGTGCAGCCACTAGTATGCGTAGCATTTCGGGCAAGTCCTTAATTCTTTGTTCCCTGAAATACGACCCCTGTGAAGAATCGTTTTTTCAACCAAGTACCCATTTTACTGTTGAGTTAAAGAGAGGTTACAGTTAAGGATTTGCGCCCAGTAAATCGTCCCCAGCCAGGATACGAACCCAGGACAAAGCGCTCGCCGAACACCAGGCGAGCGTCTTATCACTACGCCACGGAGACTGCTTTTTTAGAGCAGTCTATTTATTGTTACAGTATGTTCTAAATTGTATATTTTTGTATTTTAAAGTTACTGTAAGATACTCAAATATTTTGTGAATTTTTTCAAAAGTACAAGTGCTCAGGAAACAATAAAATCCTGAATTATTATTATTTATACTGTAGTGGCATACAAGCAACAAATGTACAGGTATTGCCATCAGTTTAATTCCAAAAATGGCTATACAGTACAGTGTTATATTTTCATAGACAGAAATATATATTACAAATTACAATTTTGGTATATAATTTTTTCAGACATACAGAAGAACGTGCTGCAACTGACAAGTGAAATTACACACTTGTTAGAGCAGAAAAAAACATTTGAAAGAGAGAGAGGAGAGCTTCAACAAGAAATTGCTGACTTGAATGTAAAATTAAATTCACAACAAGCCCAACTTATTGAGCAAACGAAGGTAATATTATATATTTGTAATGCAAGTGGTACACAACACCACAATATAGACTGCAAATTGGGTTACTAATAGACATCATTTTCAACACTGAATGTTCATTCACCAATATCTAATGATTAAGTATTTATATTTAACATGAATTTTTGCTCATTTTCTATAGAAGTACATTTTTAAAGTTTTCTCCTAGAGGCTACCAGTTATTTTTATTATCAAAACCATTATTTTACATTTCTCTAAATTGCATTTTTACATTTTTTCTGAATTTCCCTTTTTTCCAGGATCAATGTGAAATTTAAAAAGTGCCATAGAAACTAAATTAAACACCTAATCCAGGGTGTGAAAGTAATGTTATATATGAATTTAAACCCAACTGAATTGGCAGTAAATAGTAAAACATAAGATTATGCTAAAAATGAGATAGAGGGGTTATGGAAGTCATGCGAGTACAATTGTTGTTATCAAATGTAATTCATGAGGAGCACTGTCTACCTGCACTCATGAAATGATGGGGCGGTACTGTCATTTATCTGTTATGTTATATAGTGTGAATTATATAACAAATGTCCAAATGATATTATAAAGATTTAATACCTATGATATTCTTTTACTATATTATTGTATTCATCATTTTTACTGTGCTGATACCTCCCCACCATACAAAATTGGAAAACAGGATCATATAATGAATGATTAAATGAATATATTATACAAGATTACTAGGAAAATTTTTCTTTGACTGTTATGCATCAGTCATTTAATATTCACTTTCCATTGTTTAGTTGGCCGAGAGTCGACGGAATATCATTGAGGAGATGAAAGTTCACATGGAGGACGAGATACAGCGACATAAACAGGAAGTGGAAGATATATCCGTCCGCCATGGAGAAGAGATTGCAGTTTGTTCTACTGAGAACCAGCAACTGAAAGTAAGTACCACATATCTTAACCCCTGGGTTGCACCCTTGTTTATATGATGCAACACCCTGGTGCATGGAAAATAAAATAAATTGAAAACAAGATTTTCCTTCTAATTTTGTTAAAATGCATTCCCAGATCATGGGGGGGTGGGGGGGGGTGAAGGGAAGAGCTGTAAAAAATATGTATGTGATGAATTTTAGCCTTCGTGAAACCTGTAAGTATCGAGATTCATGAACATTTGTTCAGCAATTGCCCCTTGATGGTAGCGGGCATCCCTGCTGTAAAGTGTGTATATTTTTAGATATTTATATCAATATCTCTGATATGTTTTCTTGGGAGAGCCCCTTGTGGCTCCATGTAGCTACTATGCTGATATAGTTTTAAATTATTATGTGCCATCAGTTGCGGAGTTTAGGCCTATCGAGTACAACGAGCTAGAACCTGGTCCCCCCTCTAAATAGGTGCAGAGAACAATGGCATGTATGATAAAATATCAACGATAATAATAATAATAATAACAATAATAATAATAATAATTCATTGTATTGGTATTTTCATACATGTTAGGCTTTTCTCTAGGTCCCCCCTTTCCCCCCAAGGTCAAATTACTGACCCCATGCAGTATGCAACCCCACAACAAACTAACTCCTGAGTACCTACTTACTGCTAGGTGAAAGGAAATGTGCCAAACCACTTCTGTCGTCCCCGGGATTCGAACCCGAAATTCTTGATTGTGCGTCATGAAACGAACCTGACTGTACTACCGGAACCCTATATCCCAATAAATGTCCGAGTCTTAATCATGTCTGCTACCCACCAGGAAAAGATTTTTATGTGTGGTGTGGGGGTTTGGGTAAGAATCAAAGCAAGGAGTACCACCTACCCCTACACCATAAATATATTTAATAATTAAAGCTTAATTCTTCAGTTTCATAACAACTAAAGTTTTCCATGTTCATAAGTTTATTTCTTAATTAATGCAAATTTATTTCCAATTCAGAACCAACTTCAGGATGTTAACAAAAAAGTAGATGAAGTTATGAATCTCAAGCAAATTGTCATGTCTTTAGAACAAGAAAAGTACAAGATTGAGACTGAAAATCATAGGCTCTCAGAAGATCTAGTGGCTGCTCATAAATTGACTAAAGAAGAAATAGAAAGGGTAACGGTAGAGAAGATTCAGGAAATGGAGGACCTAAAATATAAATGGGAGGAGGAGAAGAAAGTAAGTAAAGTTGATCTACTAATAGATTAATATAGAAGGTATGGTGTTAATCATTTGAACACGGTAGAATGGTCAGTTGAGAGGTCATGCTGGGCTAGTGTGAATCCTGCCAAGAAGGCAGGCTGTATTCTTTCCAATTCATTTTAAGCTAGTTTTAGACTATAAACATGTTTTGACTGGCTTGTCATAAAATCCAACTGGTTACAAAGTATGCGACCAGATGAGGTGGGGGGGTGGGAGACACCTTACCAACTCTCACTTGGTCTGTGGTGTCGAATCTAAGCTTATGAATGTGTTGACTCGTAATTGTTTCTGGTCCTTCCACTTTGAATGGGCAAGCTTGCATTTGGTGGGGACTTTGTTTATTAACAAAATATTGAAAACACATCTGTCATTGACTCTACAATTTTAGAGCTCTAATAATCTAGTGTGAGGTCAGGCTTTACTGGTAATCAGTTAATATATTACACCATCTAAAGAAACTCTTGATTATACATTGACAGCTGCCATAGTTAATTTATTTGCTGATCTCTTGCATTTTTACTAAATTTTTTGTCCCTCTTTTTCTTGGAACTCCATCCTTATAATAAAGGAGAAGCTATACCAATACAGTATATAGAATCTTGACCAAACATTTCAGACGTGTTAAACTATTGAAGGAGCACATGATACATTTTTAATGAGCTGTACACTTTGGCCTGACAATCAAAGAGGTCAAGCAGTTTCCACTTATACATAAACAATAAAAAATGTAAGATACAAGTTGAAAATAAAAAATAACATATTGAAAAACTTAGTTGAAAGGATAAAGTGAAGGTGGAGAAAATGGAGTACTCCTTCAAGTAGAGTTTTAATGAGTAGCCAAAAGTATTAGTCATCACTGGAAGAGAAATGAAATGGTTACCCCACTTATTTCTTATGTAGTAGTGCTTATCTATCAATAATATACAGTATCTATAAATTAACTTGGTATCTTTGTATTTATAAATGATTGTCTCTTTAATGTGGCATTGCAAAATGCTCTGATTAGTTTGGTACTGTTCTTGTTTTTGATTAAAGAAAATTTTGGAGAATCAAGAGGTATGCTGAATTAAGCTTAGTAAATATGTTTTGACAACAAAATGAGAAATTCCACTTAGAAATATTCTGAATTTTCATATAAATAATGCAATCAGTGCCCGAGACAATTTTATTTTTTATTTTTTTAGGATTACCAGACACAGCTTGAAATCAGCACTATACAGCATCAAGAAGCAGAGGAAATGGTAGAGGTACTGAAACGAAAGGTGAGATCATTACAAATGAACATCATTAACTGAAGCAAAGATGTGAAATTACAGTACTGTTATAAAGATTTTATATAATTAAGATAAAAGTTAAATACATAGAAAATATATGCTTCCCATTGATCTATACAGACAGTGTATCATATGTTTTAATGACCAGGTCATAGATGGAGAAGAAGAACAGCGAATTCATGAGCGCAAAGGTATGACATTGCTGAAGGACTTGAAGAAGCAGCTGGCACTGGAGCGAAAGCGTGGTGATCGTCTTCAAGAGAAACTTAGCCAGTTACTGACTGACCCCTCCCAGCTAACAGCCATTACAAGTACGTTATATGGTGAAAGATGTTTCAGACGTTGATGCTTAATTTAATTTACAAGTACTGTACAGTATATGATTTTGTTAATTGGATACAGATAACAAGAGTGTTCAAATGAATTTGCACATCTAGTTTAATTTTTGCTTAAAGAAGTCCGATTGCACTACATTGGTTCACTGCCTGACCCTTGATAGACATTTAAAGTTGCTCGACATTGGGGTTCTCGAGGTCTGGTCCTTCATGCAGTTAACGTGTGGGGGGTGTATAACGTTCTTAAGGATGGGTTCTCTCTCTCTCCCACCCCATTTCCAGTGAGTGGATTGTCAACGATGTGTTCTTCCGTTGGAGTTTGCCAACTTGTCATGGGCGATATTCAGGCTTGGGGGGGGTTTTGGCATTCTAACAGGGCTCTGGCAGTCCAATACTGTACCTGTACTAGTATTTAGTCAATGTTCTTGGACCCAATCAATCTTTGGTTGCTTTCGACCATGTTTCCCAGCCTAGGTTTTCTTCATCATCTTAGTGCTTACAACTCCTCGTCCCTGCTTAGTTCCATTTTTGTTCTCTGAGGATAGTTTCAGGGATCCACTGGGGAGGGCTCCTTCCAGAAGCCCAGCATTGAATGTAATGAAACTCCTCTTTCTGGAGGAGCCTTGGTGACTCTGATTAGACTCTGACCCCATCCCTGCAGTTTCATTGGTTTGTTATTGGGTTGTTCATTAGCTCCAGAACTGACAGGTCAGTGGAGCTGGCTGGGGCTGGGCTGCTTTGTGATGGTAATCAGTACTTATGAAATTTCAAGCCATTTTGAGTGCATCCTGTGTTCTTTGTAAATCGCTTGAAGATTTGTTTGGCAGTTTCAAGGCTTTTTCTGTAAACCCTCCAGTTCTCTATAAGGTTTTGCTGAATTCTGGAGGATTTTTCCAGTGGAGTTGCATATTGTCACTCACTCCCAGTGCCTCTATGAGGGTGCCAGGTTCTGGCTCTGGAACAGAGTAGTACAAAGAAAACTTCCGTGACTAATGTGAACTTTTAGTATGGAGCAATAACAGTAACATAGCTTCAGGTAGCTACTGGGGCTCCTCCAGAGAGAGCCACTTTCATAACATTCAATGCTTTAACTAATTAGATAATTTGTCTCAAATAAAAAAAAACATTTTTCATTTGAGTCAACATTCTACTGTGAATTATTTTTGCCTAGGAGGCGGTAGTCATCATGCCAGGAATAAGGAGACATCCAGGGAGCATTTTTCTTGTAGCTACCTACCTACTTAACCATCTCAGTTCATCCTGAATAGAAAACAAAAATGTTTTCTATTCATCAAAATAAAAAACAAAAATGTTTTCTATTCATGGGTTCTTGATTAGGTTAGGTTCAGTTAATTTTTATACATCATTTTTGTGACACAACAACTTTGAAAGACATGCTGCTCGGGTAATGTGTCTTTATATACCGAGAACAAGATGGTATCACAAAACTGTCCCTTGTTTCACAACATTAGCTGAAGAAAAGAACTTTGCCCTGTTTAACAGCAGTGTTTTTAAACTAAATGCAATAAACAGGTATCTAGCAATAATAGAACAGACTATATATACAGTCATTTAACTTTTTTGGAAAGTTTAAAGTTCAACAAATTAAAAAAACTTTATAAGCATAAATGAATAATGTACAGCCATCACATCACTGGCCACCCTGTGATGAATAATACTTGAGAATAGGTTCATTCACTAGAAAGCCAGTGAGCATTTAAAAGTTCTTTTCAAAAGTCAGGTATATTTGACAAATTATTACTGTCAGAGCATTTTAGATCGGTTTATTTACCATTATAAAAGTTTGTTTTTACTTTTTTCTCAGATTTGGCTCATATATATACTGTATATATATACATATATATATTGTACAAGAAAATGCATGTGAATTCATGAATGTAAACTCCTGTAAGATATTTTGCCACTGTGGCTTATGGTGGTACATGAACAGAAATGTTTTGATGTTGCAAAAAAGTGTGAAATTTTCATCAGAAATGTTTCTAGAAGAAAACTCATCTAACCAACCTAATTTACAGCCATGTCAGAAGTAGGCGATGATGTAAGCAGTGTGTCGTCTTGGTCTATGGTGTCGGGTGAGCCACGAGACTCTTCTACCCGAGAGAATAGTATCATCATTTCTCCACAAGTTAGTCTTCATTTACTTATAGACATCAGTCTGTAGTACAGTCTACTAATTTTATTTTCGATTTAACTAAGTTAATGATGTTACAAACTCCTGAAATAATTATGGTATTGACCAATATTTTCTTTATTTTTTATTTAACTTCTATCTTTTTAATGTTACTCACAAGAATGAACATTCAGTTTTTTAACATTTGTAGATTCTCCATTTAACTGTAGTCTTGATCTTGCGTTTGAAAGTCTCTCTTCTCCCATCTCAATATGACAGTATTTTTTGTTACCATGTGTTGATGAGCACTTTAAATAAAAGGATGCTGATGTAAAGTAGTTTGAACAATTTAATAATATATATAATATAATTATTGTATTTTAGGGATCACCTCCTCCTGGTGTAGTTACTGAGGAAACTGCATCGTTAGTTAATCGTGTGACGGAACTTCAGCAGCAGAAATGGCAATTGGAAGAACAAATTACTCACCTGGAAGCCTCATCGGCTGCAATGGCTGACGACCTCCTAAAAAAATCGGCAATCATTCAACACTACTACATGGAACAGAAGACTCATGGTATTAATGTTTATACTGTGTTATTAAATTCACAAATTTGTTGCCTGAATTACATTTTGTGTTGGCCTAAAAACATGTACGTTATTAGGTAACCTCTCTCCTTTTATTCACTTAGATGATTATTCACCCTTTGTCTTCTGCTGCATCCACATCTTTTTACTCTTATCATCTTAACTTTCTGCTCTCATCTTCCATTCCTCTATTTTTTCCTCCCAGGGTTTTATCAACCTCTCAATTTTAATCTACCAGTCTGCCTAGATTTTTTAATATAATTTTGGTAAATTTGATGCAAATGATAGTTTTGAAGGGGTGATGTGCTTCGTGATTGTAATTCCTTACTTCTCAATTTTGTTTATTTTGTTACCCTTTAGTATTTAATTTTTGTTTATCACTCCTTCTCTCCCTCCCTTTCCTCTTTTCCCTTCTCCTATTATGGTTTCTTCTGTCATTGTCAAATTATTTAAATTAAATTATTTAAATAATCATTTTGCTTCATCTAATAAGTTTTCCTTTTCTTCCCACATCACACATTTTTTCTTGCTTGCTAACTGTGTGACAGACATGTTTATTTTTAACATTTTATCTGTTATTATGAATACCTCATTTACAGATAGTACTCAATCATCACCTACTTCTCCCATACACCCTGGGTTGGGAGAAAAGCTGAATGTTCGCCGCATGTTGGAAATGATGCGAGGAAGTGGTAGCGAAGAATCCATGAGGGAGATCAATCGTCGTTTGCAGAGTCTTCTAGAGGAAACCCTCACGAAGAACATGCAGCTTCATCAGGATGTAGAAAATCTTTCTGAGCAGGTGCACCAATTGACCAAACTGGCTGCTGAGAAAGCAAAAGCTGACCATTCTCCTTCTCTAGATACTCAGATTTAAATGAGGATGTTGCAAGATAAAGGTATATTCAAAAGTATGTATCACATTATGCTGAACTTCATTAACCTTCGTGTAAAATTGTTCTAATTTCTACCGGTTACTTTCCCAACATTTTTAACAGGGTAATTTGTGATGGATTATCTTAGTACATTTCAATATTTTGCCCCTTGCCTTTGTATGTGGGTTAATTTCAAAATATTTATCTCCCTGTTTCCAATAGGACTTGGGAAAATGCTCACCAATTTTTAAAAAAATAGGTTTGAGACATTACATGTACTGTACATGTTTAGATTTCCCATATCATTGTTGTATCAAGCTGAAGCTTTATATAATTACTAGAAGTGGATTAATGTTTGTGTACTTGTAGTAAATGTGCAGACCAAATAGGATACTTGTGGTATGTATTTTGATTACAATAGTATATTGAATATAAAGTTTATTGGAAGTGACTTACATAATTGTGTTCTGTGAATCTCATGTTCATAAATTAATATTTTAGCATATTTATTAACAAAAATTGCATATGAAAATACGGATGTACTGGTAATCATAAATTTCCTATAAAATTTATAGTTAATCATCTTTATACTCTCAAGTGTTACAAGCTCTGAATTCTGAATAATCTTGTATATTTAGTTTGGCTGTTAAACTAATGAACCAGCAGCCACTTAGTCTGTACTGAGGGAAGAAACCACTTGGGGAAAATCAAGCGCTGCCTTAGAAACTATTCATGTAGTTTTAAACTGAAAGGGAAGAAATGAGAAGAGGCACAGTACAAAAAATATAAATCCATAAGAGATAGATAATGGAAGCAGTAAAATATGAAAGGTTTATATGATGGTAAGGTAATTATCAGGCAAAAGCACTAAGCAATTATGACTATACAGCACTTGGAAGGGATGAGGATAAAGATTTAGGACAGGATAAACAAAAGGAATGGTGCCCAACCACTTGAACAGTCGGGAATTGAACTCCAACCTGCATAAAGTGAGACCGTCACTCTACCATCCAGCCCAAGTGGTTGGGCAGGTTTATATGAAGTGAAAACAAGTTGTAGATCGCACCCATAAGAAAAGAGTATGATGGACAAAGGTAACAAGAACAAAAAGATACCTTTTCAGTGTTAAGCCACTGTCGCTGGCTTAACACTGTACGGTATATTTCTTGTGCAGCGTCACTGTCTCTGATGACACATAAAAGAAGGCATTGTTCTCAACCCCCCTCCCCCCACCATCCATGCTAACTCAGGAAGGAGATGAGCTCCTGTCAGGCAAGAAACTTAACTACATATGTGAGACAGGTGCAAGCCTTGAAGCCTACAAGATGCTGTTGCTATAAAAGACAAATTTGAACGTGACGTAGCCTGTAAGCTACTTTTCACAACAACATAGCCTTCCCGGTTTGGTGCCTTCTTTTGATAATTACTTACTTTTCACAACAGAATAGGGGTATAGAGGGGCTCTATAAAGTCAAGATCAATCCCAGTAAGTGTCACATAAAAGATGGTCACCTCCCTCCAGGCATGATCGACATTACAGCTACTATATCCCACGCAATAAATTATTTCCTGTAAAGTAAGAAAATCAGGAACCTGATACTTCAAGCAGAATGCGTACGAACAACCAGACAATAAAATAACAGGGTAAAGTTCTGACAGGGGTGTCTATCCTTCAAGATAATCATCAAAATTTAGTTTTCACAGCAGGAAGGCAAGACTAATGTAACCTGTGACATACTGGGTTATTGTACTCCTCTATAGGAATGATGAACTGAATGCACTGAAGCACTGGAACATCATCATTCAACACTCTAACAAAGAATCGAAAGTGAGGCAGAAAGGAGGCGGCATCATACTCAAAACTGAATGGGAAAATTCACAATACGGTACTCCTTACCCTGAGAAATGTAATTTTTGATCTGGAGTGCAAATGTAATTCACAAAAATTGTGTTTAGAATTTTAGTGACTAATATTTCATGAAGCATAGTTTAAGAAGTAGATTTCATAAGGATGATATATAAAACGAAAGGTTAAAGGCTGTTTTTCCATAAGAGCTTGCATGTAGATAATTTTGTATAGTTTATAAAATGAGTAAAAGGACAGGAACTGGCATATAAGTACAGTATGTCAAATGAAAGGCCAAGTCAAGCCTTTATTACAGACATTTTTTCTTGAAGATCAAACCTGGAAGATCTCCTTAAGTTAAATGTAATCGAGAATAAAAACTCATCGTTGGTGTCATTGAACATGGTGCATGCTTGTATTTGGCTCCCACACCAAAAAATCTGTTAACTGCTCGGCATTCTCAAGAGATGATGCTAATCCTCCTGACTTTCCTTTATACTGTATATGAAAAACGAATTCGGATATTTTCTGTTTTGTAGCTTGATAAATGTCCATTTTTCTCATCAATATAGCATTGTGATGTGTGGTTGTGCAAATAACTAAACTGTAATATGATCTCTACTGCCAAGCCACTTGGAAAGTTAATATTAGAGATTTTCATGTTTAAGGCTGTAATGTGTTCACAATAATTATATGAGTAAGGAAAACAGTAATTTGTAAGAAAGATTATAATATACTGTATCATAAAGACGTGATAGCTCTCTTAAATATCTTGGTAAAATGTAGTTGGCAAGAATTATCTTCTCGGCTTATGTGGGTTTGTGAAGCATTGCGGCTCTGATATCATTCAAGCTCTACAGTAGATTCTCTTTATTTGAGTGCCTTCTTATTGTCACAAAACCAGAGCTTTTTTCAGTAGAAACTTGGGGTATAATTGGCATTTATAGAATGAACAGAACTACTGTACTGCAAGTTTTTTTACATAAAATTAAGTGACAATCACAAAGATGGTGCAAGTATAACTGCATAACTTTTTTTTACAGCATTTGTGTTTGTGTTGTTTAAAGCAGTGATTGGTTTGCTCACTGTTTGATCCATGTATTTTGATTCACATGTGACTAATCTCTCTCTAAAATGTGGTATTGCACATTAATTTGTAATTGATAAGTTAGAAAGTTGATTTTAATCATAGACATTAACATAATGCTTTACTTTCATCAGATGTTATTTTTAATAGTAAAAGCATCTCACTGCAGTTTATTAACTGTAATTAGCATCTGGCAATTAACATGCAGAGCAAAATTATGAACACAGTTAATTTAAAACAATGCATGGCTCTTAAGTAGTAAGATTTTACATATTTCTAAATATTAATGATGATCTAGTCCTTACTGTTTCATAGAATATTTATTTCTAAGTAAATAAAATACTGAGTGTAAATAAAAATGCTATTTTATGAAAGAAAGGCATTCTCCATGTCAGTGTAAAATAGAAAAAACATTAAAATTGAGATTTCTAATAAGTTGGAAGACCACACAAAGTTGAAGTGGCATGGTAAGCACAGAGGGCTTATGGTAGACAGTAGGTTTAATGATAAGAAAAGACTTATGAATATGATTGCTGAGAAGTACTGTCTACTTGCACTAGTGTTTAAAAGTGGGACTTGGAAATGAAATGCTAGGCATAATAATAATAGTAATAATACTGTAATATTAATGTAAAGAAATACCAACCGAGTGTATTGAAGACATTATCTATATTGACTGCTTTGTTCATTCATTAATAGTGTGTAGGTGAACTATCTTTGTGTATGTGAGCACACACACACACACACGCTCGCTCACTCACTCACTCACTCACTCACTCACTCACTCACTCACTCACTCACTCACTCACTATGCACACACATACGTATGTGCATGTGTGCATGTGCGCACGCTTGGAGGAATTTGAGCTCACCGGTGATTAGGTCAAAAGGAATCTGTTGGAGCTGAATGTGACAAAGATTGTCGAGTCTAACAGAATCTCACCATGGATACTAAAAGAGGGTGCAAAAGCACTTAGTGTGCCACTCTTTATGGTGTATAACAGGTCACTGGAAACAGGAGACTTATCGAAAAGCTGGAAGACGGCTTATGTAGTTGCTATATACAAAAAGCGTGACAGGCAAGAGGCACTGAACTACAGGCCAGTTTCACTAACTTGTATACCATGCAAAGTGATGGAGAAGATCATGAGGAAAAGGCTCGTAGAACATCTGGAGGGAAATAGCTTTGTAACACACCACCAGCATGTGTACAGAGATGGTAAATTGTGCCTTGCAGGCTTCATAGAACTCTATGACCAAACAACAAAAATTAAGCAAGAAAGAAAAGGGTGGGTAGACTGCATTTTCTTGGACTGTCAAAAAGCCTTTGACACAGTACCCTATGCAAAAATTATGAGAAGCAGCAAGACATGAAGATAGACAGAAACTACAGGACGACCTGGACAAACTGGAGGAATAGTTTAGAAAATGGCTACTAAGGTTCAACTCAGGAAAGTGTAAAGTAATGAAATTAGGCAAAGGGAACAGAAAGCTGAACACAAAGTACCATCTAAGAGGTGAAATCCTGCAAGAGTCAAACAGAAAGAAAGATCTGGGGATTGATATCACACCGAACTTGTCCCCAGAAACCCACATTAAAAGGATATCACCAGTGGCATATGCTAGATTGGCCAATACAAGAACTGCCTTTAGAAACTTGTGTAAGGAATCATTCAGGACCTTGCATACCACTTATGTCAGATCAATCCTGGAACATACAGCTCCAGCATGGAGCCCATACCTAGTTAAACACAAGACAAAGTTAGAGAAGATTCAGAGGTTTGCCTCCAGACTCGTCCCAGAACTGAGAGGTATGAGCTACGAGGAAAGGCTAAGGGAGCTGAACCTTACGTCCCTGGAAAACAGAAGAGTAAGGGAAGACATGATAACCACCTACAAAATTCTCGGGGGAGAATTGATAGGGTGGACAAAGACAAACTCTTTAGCACGGGTGGAACACAAACAAGGGGACATAGATGGAAACTTAGTACCCAAATGAGCCACACAGATATTAGAAAGAATTTTTTCAGTGTCAGAGTAGTTAATTAATGGAATGCATTAAGCTGTGATGTGGTGGAGGCTGACTCCATACACAGTTTCAGATGTAGATTTGAGAGAGCCCAGTAGGCTCAGGCTACAACCAGTTAATTGACAGTCAAGAGACAGGACCAAAGAGCCAAAGCTCAACCCCTGCAAGCACAACTAGGTGAGTACACACACACACTCAGATATTGTGTGCAAAGCTTTTTGGTTGGTAAAAGTTGTGGTAATATTAATATAAAATTTAACTTTGCTTTAAATTCTTAATGTAGTTACAATGTTTCATAAAATAATTTATCTCTAATATATTAATATTATGGGTTTTATTTTTCTAGTCAATTTGTGTTCATTCTTCAATAATATAATTTGCTTTAGAAATGTGCAATACTATGCTGGCATAATTAGGCTATAAATAAATATCAGACCACAGCTTTAATAAAATTCAGCCGTCCATTTGTTGTAAGGTAAGTGATGCTTAGAATGTAATATGTGAGAGCTGGACACCATATCTACTACACAAATCAAACTCTTGGGGAAATTATTTGCAATATAATGGGATTTTACTTCTGTAACTTACTGAAGGCAGCTTCCTGCATATTTAAATTTGTTGTATTCACTTCAAATCATCTATTGCCAATCAATATGAATTTAAGTTTCTGCTGTGTAGAGAAGTTTTACTATTGCATTATTCTTATACAAATACAAATTCATTAACATTAAACATAGAGCAATTAAATTGCTTGCCATCAAAGTTTGTGTTATGGTAGTAAAGTAAAACTATTTTTCATTTTGGACAGTATATCATTACTACTAAACATGTGTAAATACTTTAAACAAATGTAGACTTCTTATAACAAAGAATATTATTGTACTCTGGTTTGTTCCTCTGTACCAGGTTTTTCTATATTCAAAGGTAGAACAAGGAGAAGCATACTTTAATGTTCAGTACTGTACACAAGTTTATCTATGTGTTGTATAAAGTTAAAAATTCTAGGTAAACTATGCACCATCCAAAGCTACATAATACATTCTTGTGGTGTATGGTTGAAAAGTTAGGTAAGCTGGGCACATTAGAAGCTGCATATTGCAACTGTATTGTGAACTTAACATTCATTTCAAAATCAAAAAAATAATTTGAGTTATATCAGCATAACATATAGGCGCATTTGGTATGGAAGTTTCTTTACACAGTCTCGTTATGTCACTGTCCTGTCATGACAGATGGAAGATAATGACACTTGTTTTATTTGCAGTAAATCATTAAAGAAATTTCTTGGATATTTTTTTATATTGTGATTAAAATTTAATAAGTAGCTTATGACAATGCAGCCTTCTGCCACTGTATGTAATGTTCCCTACGTTTACAATAATAACTTATAATCGTACTAACACTTGCGGTGTTCAGTCATAGCATGGTGTACCATGCCTCTGTTGTTCTTACATGTGTGAATGTTTTAAACAAAAAAAGGGTGATTTTATTAGTTTAAAAAGATGTGTATGGATAAAATACAGCTACATTTTTTGCAAAGACGACATCTATTTATATCATGTGTGCAATTTTCAAAATAATGTTATTTGTGGAGCCATAAGATACTGTAGTTGAAGGCAGCCACATATATATACCATGTCTTGTAGATCCCCCAAATTATGTAAATAAAATATGGATAAAGTTATATACTGTACTTCACAAGTTTTAATATACCAATTTATGCTACTAATTAATAAATAGATGAATACAACAAAACATGGCTGTTTGGTTTATATATTGGAATAAATCAAGATTTCTTTACAAATGAGTGGTATAAAACATGACTAACTATATATATAATACTGTATATATATATATATATATATATATATATATATATATATATATATATATATATATATATATATATATATATATATATATATATATATATATATATATAATATATATATATATATATATATATAATATATATATAATATATATAATATATATATATAATATATATATAATATATATATAATATATATATATATATGTCGTACCTAATAGCCAGAACGCACTTCTCAGCCTACTATTCAAGGCCCGATTTGCCTAATAAGCCAAGTTTTCATGAATTAATGTTTTTTCGTCTACCTAACCTACCTAACCTAACCTAACCTAGCTTTTTTTGGCTACCTAACCTAACCTTACCTATAAATATAGGTTAAGTTAGGTTAGGTAGGGTTGGTTAGGTTCGGTCATATATCTACGTTAATTTTAACTCCATTAAAAAAAAATTGACCTCATACATAGAGAAAAGGGTTGCTTTATCATTTCATAAGAAAAAAATTATAGTAAATATATTAATTCAGGAAAACTTGGCTTATTAGGCAAATCGGGCCTTGAATAGTAGGCTGAGAAGTGAGTTCTGGCTACTAGGTACGACATATATATATATATATATATATATATATATATATATATATATATATATATATATATATATATATATATATATATATATATATATATATATATATATATATATATATATATATATATATATATATATATATATATATATATATATATATATATATATATATATATATATAAATAATTGGTGTATAAATTGTATATATATATATATATATATATATAATATATAATATATATATATATATTGTACCCAAGCTTTAATATACCACCATCAAAAGAACATAGCTGCTTTGGAAAAATTTCAACACAGAGCAACAAAAATCATCTCAGAACAGCAAACTCTCATACCAGGAATAGTTGAGGGCCACTGGACTAACAATACGGCAAACCAGGCATGACAGCCAATCTTACTGAGACCTTTAAAATACTGAACAACTTGGAGGATATTTATGTGGACTGCTTCTTTAAAAGGTCAAATGTAATGCATAAAAAAGGCAACACCTTTCATGCTCAACAAGCCATAGTGCAGGACAGAAAATACATGGCACTTTTTCACCCATGAAACTATGTACAGTACAGTACTGCTTAAACCATAAATGCCAAAACTTTACTTCAGATCAAAATCCAGATTGAACAAATCCTCGCAAACACTGGGGGATTGTTGACCTGGCTTCCTGTTCCCATCGAGGCCAACTCGCGATGTGGTGGCCCTAAGGTAAATTCAGGTAATGAAACAATCAAGTAATATATGACATAATTTGAAATTGTAAAAATACAGTACTTCAGTCATCTAATGTGATTGAGTTTTCAATTGCTCACTACAATATGTTGTTTGACAATTCTCTAACATTGTACATGGGAGACATGAAATGTGTATATGTTGGTTAGCATTTTAGCTAAAGGGCCTCATTTGTGTAGTAAAGATTAAAATAATCATCAATAATCCTTCCATCCACTACAGTTCTCATCAACTGTAGTGGGCCAGCCAGAGGCTTAGGGCCCATGCAGGAATTTTCCCTAAAAAAAAATCAACTGTACTCAGCCCTAAACTTACACACCTGCAAGTTTCCCTTCTCCCACATATTGGGAGAATGCAGGGGAGAGGAGAAAAGTAATGGGGGTGGGGGAAGAGACAGACTACTTCTCCCACATGTTGGGAGGATGTAGGGAGAAGAGAAAGGTAATGAGGAATGGGAAAAGAGACAGACAGACTACACTGGGCACTGCCAGGTACACAAGCCAGTAGATCTGTAAGCGAGAGAATGTTTGCAGATGATGAGTCACAATAACGTGGCTGAAATATGTTGACCAGACCACACACTATAAAATGAAGGGACGACGACGTTTCGGTCTGTCCTGGACCATTCTCAAGTCGATTGTGTTTGTTGTTTGTCTGTCCAAGATAGGATGCTAAATGCTAGGGGGCTAGCCCCACCCAATTTTCACACATGTGGGGTAGGGGAGTGTCATAGGTCAGTTGAGGGTCGCGTCCAGTGCCACACTTAAAGAAGTATTGGCATCTAACCCAATTCCCTGGAGCAATTTTTCACGAAAACAAGTCTTGAAATATTGGTTGTGTTGTCTGGAAACTTATTTAAGTTTTTTGTTATGTAATTTTCTGAGAGAGAAAGGGAAGGAGAAGGGTTAAGAGAGGGATGTTTAAAGAGAAGGGAGGGATGCCAGAAGAGAAGGGAGGGATGCCAGAAGAGAGTGGGGTTGTTTGAATATAGGGAGGGAGTAGTGGAGAGAGAGGGAAAGAAAGGTGGAGAGATAAGGAAAGAAAGGTGGAGAGGGGAGATGGTTGATAAAGTGATGGAGAAGAAATGAGAGGGGAGGAGGAGGGTTTCTGGGGGAAAGGAAGAAACGTGAAAGAGAGATGAGAGGGGAAGGAGGGAGAGAGTCCCGGGTCCAGTACAAGTTCTTGACATCAAATATTGTAATTAAGCCTTCATATATAGTTTAGGATAGCGATAACAACAGAATGCAGCTAATACGTCTGTTAATAGCAATATATTACCTGAAGTGTCTTAGTTCACGTTAATCACAATGTTGGCTATACAATCAATTGTCTCTATAATTTACTTGAGGGCCACTATCTCAGTAGCAGCCTCGGCAAGGACAGGAAGCCGGCGGCTTTTGTCAAAGGTCCTCCATTTGTCCTGATGATTTTATCGAGCTGGATTTTAAAATTCAGCAGCCGTGTTCTGGCATTTACGCCTTCGACGGGTAGGCGGTTCCATGGGTTTATACTATAATAGTTTACTATAATAATACTATATACCTGTTTTAATTTATTTATTTGTTTACAAGACAGTTTTAATTATTTATTTGTTTATAAGACTATGTTTTAATTAATTTATTTGTTTATTATGGGTTATTGTGTTACAAATTTGGATAATTAAGTGGTACATTTTTGCAAAGTTCCAGCTTGGTGCCTTCTATTGATAGCCATTAAAAAAAAATGCGTTAAAGGGAAATCGTGCATCAGGAACCGGCTTCCAGGCATAAGGCGACACTAACATCAGAAACGCGGTAGTAAATATGGCGTCCCGGCCTCTACTGCAGACGTCGCGACATTTAGCACGATATTATAAACTTACTTCACAACTAATATTGACAAGTAAGATTAATTTCCAGCAATATACCTCAGTAGCATTAATCTATTGCCAAATAAGTGTTAAACATTGTTTTGTTTTGTGGTAAGGGTAGGGTAGGAGGCCCTGGAGCTCATGGGGATGCAGACTTATTTGCACTGGGGGGAAAGGGGGGTTTAAAGCTAGTTTCAAATTAACCATAAAGTTTTTGTGGTAGGATTTTATTGCTTTAATTTGGTTTTCCCGAATGGGACAGGAAGTGTTAGGTTTACCGAGAAACCCCTCCCCCACCCCCCAGGCCAACGACTGGATTTTCACATAATGCCGCCAACAACAGTTGCCTACCTCTCATGTACATATTTGTTACTAGGTGAACAGTCACTAGGTGAAAGGAAACTTTGTTCAAATGTCTCCATCCTACTATGAGATTTTTTTGTTAACACTGTTTAAGTAAACAGCAATTTGCTGCTACTCTGTTCTATATGTGAATTGAACTCAGTTTATAATGTTACATTATTACACTAAGCATTCCAGTTTATAATGTTACATTATTATACTCATTAATTACAGTATAAAGAATTATTTAACTTTTTCCTCCACAATATGGGTGCATTTACAGTTTTATCTTTTTAGAAACATCTTCAATTGAACCTCACACATGAAAGATATCAACCAGGAAAATCTTGATGTATAAAGTTTTTTTTCTTTCTCTTATCCCCAGTCTTTCCCACACCTCAGCCTCTAAACCTTGTGTGAACAAAACCATGTCATCACAAAATGTAGAATTTTGTTTAAACAATATGCCTTTAATGCTTTGTGAACTAGTGGCTGTATGTTGACCAGACCACACACTAGAAGGTGAAGGGACGACGACGTTTCGGTCCGTCCTGGACCATTCTCAAATCGATTGTTATAATGTTACATTATTACACCAAGCATTCCAGTCTATAATGTTACATTATTACACCAAGCATTCCAGTTTATAATGTTACATTATTATACCCATTAATTACAGTATAAAGAATTATTTAACTTTTTCCTCCACAATCGACTTGAGAATGGTCCAGGACGGACCGAAACGTCGTCGTCCCTTCACCTTCTAGTGTGTGTGGTCTGGTCAACATACAGTACTTTAGCCACGTTATTGTGACTCGTCGCCTGCATAGTGGCTGTATTACACATTCATTTTATGTAACAACTTTTCAACCTCTGTACTATGTTTTTCAGTACATTTTTTATATAAATTTGTGTATTATTGTATATGCAATGACTTTCCCATGAACTCAACTTCTGTTTCTTACATTATATCTGGCTACAGAAATCTTGAAAGTATATTTCCAAACTATAGGGAGTTATCATTCATGCCCCTTATTTTTCACCCACAGGATCACAGAGTAATTGTGCTGGGAAATGGCAAATTATGGGAGCAGCATGTATAATACGACCACCAGTTATCTGTCCCCCAATGAAACCAATAGAGCAGCAGTATTCTGAGGTATGAATATCCCTCTTTTATTTTGCATTACAATTTTTAGTTTATATTCTCAAAATAGACATGCTAATTCAAATATGGTTCAGTATATAACATCTAGAATGACAGAATGAAAATTCTATTTATTAATCACTTAAATGCTCTAGTTTAATACACTCTAGCTTCATTCTCTTATATCACAAATTTTTATTTTAGATGCTTGCAACTGTTGAGAAAGAACGGTCCCTCAAAAGCGATCATGAACTTCGAAGAGAAAAGGACTTATTACATACAGAATTAATGAAAACTGATGATGAAGATTTAAATCTTGAAGAAGCATCTAAACAAACGGCTTTGGAATTTGAGGATGCCTGTGATGATGAGCTAAAGGCTTTTAATGCTAGCATGTCTGTCCCAGGTTAACATCACTCTTGTTGAGTCCAGTATTTTGGTAAAAATTTAGAGAATTATACATTTCTAGGGCAATGAAACAACGAACCTTTTTAATTTAATCCATGTTTAATCCACACTTATTTCCAAACACCCTTTTTAAACACAAGAAATGGTCAAGTCTAATGTTATATGTTAGGTGCTTATCAATTGTGAGGCGGACAACAGCAATAGTTGCCATGAACGAAGCTATTCAGCTTTCTGGCAGGTAATGCAGGGATTTTGTTAATGTCAACGTGGTGTATCACCAACATGGGCTTTGTTGATCCATAATGGCAAGTGTTCCTTCTCCACTTCCCCTGACTAGGGAGCCTAACAGCTGAGTTGACAGCGCTCAGGATTCATAGTCCTAAGGTTCCGGGTTTGATCCCAGGTGGAGGCGGAAACAAATGGGCAGAGCTTCTGTCACCCTGATGCTCCTGTTCACCTAGCAGTAAATAGGTAACTGGGAGTTACACAGCTGCTACAGGCTGCTTCCTAGGGATGTGTAACTAAAAGGAGGCCTGGTCAAAGAACCGGGCCATGGGGACGCTAAGCTCTGAACTCATCTTAAGATATAACCTCAAGATATATGACTTTCATCAGATCAAGGGTTAATAGTTAATTCTGAGTTGGGTTTTAAATTCTAATTAATTAGAAAATCAAAAATAATATTATAAATTGTTTGAATTAATAGAGTATTCATTATATTGTCACTTTAATTTAATAACAAAACTTAACAGAAAACAATTTAAATTTTTTAAATTGTCACGGGGTGAGTCAGGAGTTGACGACACATATAAAGGGCATTGTTAAGTGTTATTTTCATTTAAAGAATCTCTTTAACCTTAAATGTGGAAATTATTTACAACAGAGGGAAACTGCTCAATTACAGTACTTACGAGAGAAATGTAATTTGTCAACTATGTTGTTTAGCTATTCCATGCCCAACAGCTGTAAAGTGGCTCTGCTAAATGGCTCACAGATAAATGCCACTCTTTTTATATTTGAAAAGCACTGTCAACTATTAATCTGTGTAAATGTGGGAAACACAGGTTCACAGCACTACTGGTTAGGTATTTGTACCAATATTTAAAATGTGAGAAGTTTGCAGGTACTGTACACTTTGTTGGTGCACAAGGTTTATGCTGTTCAGTTGCTTTAGTACACAACATTCAAATACTGTATTATGCTCTGACCTGTGACTCCTCACAACTTTAGATTTTTTGAATGTTTTTATATACTGTATGTATGTACACACATCATTTGGTCCCAATATACAAAAAGGGTGACAGACAAGAGGCACTGAACTACAGGCCAGTGCCCTTAACTTGTATACCATGCAAGGTGATGGAGAAGATCCTGAGAAAAATCTAGTAACACAGCTGGAGAGAAGAGACTTTGTGACAAATCGCCAACATGGGTTCAGGGAGGGTAAATCTTGCCTTGCAGGCTTAATAGAATTCTACGACCAGGTGACAAAGATTAAGCAAGAAAGAGAAGGTTGGGCGGACTGCATTTTTTGGACTCGGAAAGCCTTTGACACAGTCCCCCATAAGAGGCTGGTACATAAGCTGGATAGACAGGCAGGAGTAACTGGTAAAGTGCTCCAGTGGATAAGGGAATACCTAAGCAATAGGAAGCAGAGAGTTACAGTTAGGGGTGAGACCTCAGATTGGCACGAAGTCACCAATGGAGTCCCACAGGGCTCTGTACTCGGTCCTATCCTGTTTCTGATATACGAAAACAATCTCCCGGAATGTATAGGCTCATTCCTCTCAATGTTTGCTGACGATGCCAAAATTATGAGAAGGATTAAGACAGAGGAGGACTGTTTGAGGCTTCAAGAAGACCTAGACAAACAGAAGGAATGGTCGAACAAATGGTTGTTAAGAGTTTAACCCAAGCAAATGTAATGTAATGAAGATAGGTGTAGGGAGCAGGAGGCCAGTTACAAGGTATCATTTGGGAGGTGAAATTCTTCAAGAGTCAGAGAGAAAGACTTAGGGGGGGGGGGTTGATATCACGCCAAGCCTGTCCCCTGAAGCCCATATCACGAGGATAACATCAGCAGCATATGCCAGGTTGGCCAACATAAGAACAGCCTTTAGAAACTTTTGTAAGGAATCATTCAGAACTTTGTATACCACCTATGTCAGACCAATCCTGAAGTATGCAGTCCCAGCATGGAGTCCATATCTAGTCAAGCATAAGACTAAACTGGAAAAGGTTCAAAGCTTTGCCACCAGACTAGTACCTGGGCTGAGAGGTATGACCTACGGGAATTAAACCTCACGCCGCTGGAAGACAAGAGTTGGGGGGGGGAACATGATCACCACATACAAGATTCTCAGAGGTGTTGACAGGTAAATAAAGATAGGCTATTTAACACAAGGGGCACATGCACTAGGGGACACAGTTGGAAATTGAGTGCCCAAATGAGCCACAGAGATAATAGAAAGAATTGTTTAGTGTCAGAGTGGTTGACAAATGGAATGCATTAGGCAGTGATGTGGTGGAGACTGACTCCATGCACAGTTTCAAGTGTAGATATGATAGAGCCCAATAGGCTCAGGAACCTGTACACCATTTGAGTGAAAGTTGAGAGGTGGGACCAAAGAGCCACAGCTCAACCCCTGCAAGTACAAATAGGTGAGTACATACATACATACATTCATTCATTCATACACATACAGTATTGCATTTTTAAACCATGAAGTTATAGAAGTTGCTGCTATTTGATGTTTTATGAAAATGTGGCATGATATTCCAATTTGTGAAAATAAATGCCTCCAGATAGCAATACAGTAGTTTAAGAGTAGAAGATATGAAGGCTGAATGTGGGTACTGGAAGATTCATGCCTTGAAAGATGAATTGGAAATAGTCAAGATTGTTAGCCATTTGTATAAATGTGGAAATTACATTTTAAGATTTCCAATGATTGAATGGCAAAGGTGAAGAGCTTTGGTAGATATTCCTGAATGGTTGAAATAGTGAAATTTAATACCCGGCATATTCTGTGACACAGAATGTCACAGAATATAGCACCACAAATGGTGCTATATAGTCTTCCTGGCTTGATATCTTATTTTGATAATTATTTAATCAATTGCTATGTACAACATTTTAGATGGATGAAATATTTGTAGTTTCCTAATGGTTACATTCCAAATTTTAGGTGTTGATGTAAAAGACCTTGGCAGCCTTAATCATTCACTGGAAAGGTCAGTTATACTTGTGGTAAAGCAAAAGTTAGGAACCAGCCAGGAATGGGTTCTACCCCAGACACCTTGGTTACCAGGAGAGACATTGAGACAGGTATGAACTTTAGTTTATTTGAACTGCAGTACTATGCTTTCCTATTTGTTCCACTTTTTACTGAATAACTTAGAGCTTTATTTCTTTGTGATAGCAATAATCTTCTGTAATAATTTTCCATAGTTTTTGTTTTAAACTAGTAAATGTAGTTGGTATTTAAGAATTTGAACAGAGCTTTTGTTCAATAATTTTTACTTACAGACATGTGAGCGTCTTACTCAAGAAGCATGTGGAGATAATCTTAAAGTGAAGTTTCTTAGTAATGCTCCCTGTGGGTTCTACAAGTACAAATACCCAAAAAATGCCCGAACAGAGGGATTTATTGGTGCTAAGGTAAGTAACTTCTTGATTTGTATTATACTTGTATATAAAATCTTTTCTATCAACATTTTAAGTACAGTATTGTTTGCAAATAATTGAACACCTGAGGCTTAGGTGTCCCACCTAAGTCTCTTATCACAGCAACGGTTTAAGGTTTTCTGTTGCTCATTTCAACTTTGTTTCTTCCTCTAATTTTTCTTTGCTGTCGGTTCTGGGTACTCTATCCTTTTTTCCTGGTTGTCTGTTGATTGGCATTTCATGGCTAATGCCATCACCTCTTATTACTCGGCTTTGACGAAGCCACTCTTATTGGCATTCTGCATCGGCACTTCTTCTGTGCCATTTCGTAAGTTGTCTCGAGCTTTATTTCATCTCTGGCAGGCTCATGCTAGGGTAGTTTCTTTGTTGCAGCCTTCTCCTTCTCTGGCAAAGAATGAATTGGGATCCTTTGGCGATTGATCTCTGGTTTGTTTGGCTGAAGGTGCATCATTTGTCGTTTGGTTGTGGTGGTTCATCACTTCCTGCATGCAAGGCTGGCCTTAGGAACTGCTTGGCCCAATTTTTGGGAGGCCCTCCCATGTTCACAGCCAAGGTCTGTTTTAGTCAGATTATTTATTAAAAATAATAATTTTATTTTTTGTATAGGAAAAAACATTAAATTGTAAATGAACACCTTTATTGGAAACAAATTATCTCTTTTGGATTTCAAAAACTGACTTTCATTATAATAAGGAATATCTTTCTTGCATGCATGTAAGCCTAAAGTCCAATACAATTCAAGCTTTAGGACAAAATTCACAAGACTATGTTAGCCCTGTCACAACAGTTATTTAAACCAATTCACATTAAAGTGCCATTCATCACTAAACTGATAACAAACAAACAAAGCATATTGTACTTTGACTCGTATTTGTATTGTCTTAAAGAATTCAGTAGATATAAACATAACCTTTCAAGTTGGTGTAGGTTTATGCAGCCCGTCCTCCAAAAAAGGGGTGGTAAATGTAAGGAGACAAATAAGTGCAATTATGTACTATTCATAGCAGTTAGAAATTGTACTTATTTTCACTTAGTATTAAATCGTACTGTCAAATATATTGTGAATATTTGAGTTTACCTGAAAAACTGAATAGAAAACCACACCCTCACCTAACCGTCTTAGTTTTTGAAGATAATAATTTTATTGCTTCTTAATTACAATTAGTACTTAACTTATAGCTGTATTGATATTACAGTTTTATAAAACTAATAAAACAAAACTAAAATATATCAATAAATTGTAAAGTAACTAAGGATATTTTAAAATTTTGTATAAAATCTATATTGTTTAATAAACCTGAAAAAGAAATTCCTGATATTTAAAACTTGTGTATTGCTAATTGAAATTGAAAACTGCATCCTAAAATTCTGAGTGTGTTAACAGAAAACGAGGAGATTTAAATCGGGGGAGGGAGTTGGGTAAATGTAACAGCCCCATAAGTACAATTATGCACTGGTTATGACAGTACGAAAGTGTACTTATTACACTTAGTATTAAATCGTACTGTCAATTCGGAGGATGGGTTGGTTTACATGCCACCTATCCTGCTTCGGTGGATGCCCTGTTCCGGTTTCCTTGGTTCCTTGTTTAAAGGCATGTTTATCTCAGGTTGTCTGCTGTGGCATTGTAGCTCGTGAGCCTGCCGTCTACCCTCATGCCTTTGTTGTTTATGGCTTTGGCTGCTGTGTTCACTACTGTGTCATGGGCTCTCTGGGTTTGAGGTTTTGAAAGGTCTGTTTTGATTCTAGCTACTCGTGTAGTTGCTGCTCTCATCCTTCTTGGAAAGTTTTGTATTTTCTGTCTACTCTGTGGTTAGCTTCAGGGAGCTACCTAGAGGCTTCTCCAGAAAACCAGTATTGAACGTAATGAAACACCTCTTTCTGGTACAGCCTCAGTGACTAATTCGCTCTCCACCTTCCCTACTTGGAGCATTGCTTCATGGTTTCTTGGCTATAGACAGGCTGCTGGTCAGGGTGGAAGCCTGGAGCTCTTGGGGTGCAGAGACTTGCCTGCACTGGAGGTGTTAAATCTAGTTTCAAATTAACCATTTAGTTTTGAATGAATCATTTGTAGAGTTATAATATTTATATTGATTGACATAAAAATATGAATAACTATTCATGTAAATCGAGCAAAATATTTTATTTTAGTGACAATGAACCAGAAGTTAAATGCAGCTTGTTAAAATTCAATGTTTACACCAAACACTGTTTAATTTCATTGCAACAACATTGAATAAGAATGATACTGAAATAAAATTAAATGAGTTCTTTTAGAATATATTTAATAATGCTTAATAATGTATACTGGTAACTAATTCCCCTGTTTTCAGGTTTTTTTCTACAAGGGTCAAGTGAGAGAGAACAATGGGTCAGTATATCCAGGAGAAAACATTGTTGAATACCAGTGGTTGACACATGATAAATTAGATGAAAAGTTCAAGCAATCATACGCAAAATCTGTTTCCATGTTTCTAGTATCTGATCAGTAAGTGTTCATTTAGTAAACAAAAGTGGTGGTACCATTACCAAGAGGATGATCACTTCTTTTGATTGTGTACGATAGCATGATTTCATGGTGTGGTATAAGTTTTTGCTACTTGTAAATATGTGAATGATTTTTTTAAATAAATATCTATCATGATGTAATTTGTTTTGTTTACAGTACGTATATTAAGTAAAAATTATTCAGTTCCCAAGAAAATATATTAAATTTTATTATATTTTATTCCCCTCATATACATAGAAACTTTTAATAATTTTTTCAATTAAGTTTTCACTATAAGAAGCCAAAAATTCCATGTGATGAAATGACTAGTCATGTTGGTATTCATAATTCTAACTGCACAGGTGAATTGAAAATAGTAAGAAGTATGAGAGGTATCGGTAAGGTGAAGTTTCCACAACTTTAGTGTTTATTCGTAAAGTAGATTTTATCATTTGAAATACAGTAGATGCTAATTTATAAAATAGCTGATGTGCCTGCAAACCCTATTAAACAAATAGTACATTATGTAGTAGAGAGATAGCTTATGTATAATATATGCCTAGACTTGGTGAGTTCTCAAAACCTATGAATATATCAATGGGTTATTAAAATACACATATTTTACATTTCTCTAATCCATCAGTTTCCAACTTCCAGTTGTGCTCCCCCGCCCCCCACGTTCTTATGCCCTCGCCTAAAAAAAACTATTTCTATCCATTTTGTCTGTTTCCCTCAGTATCTTGTAAGGTTGACTTATATTGCCTCTAGCAAGGACATGACCTGAGTACTGTAGTACATTATTTATTGTTGCTGTTAATGACATCAACTCTTACCTTCCAACTGAAGTTTCGTAAGCATTATTTGTCGACAATTAAATTATTTGTTACAGCAGTCATGCTGTTCTAGATCCAAAGGATCGTTCAAATAATGGTAAATAATATCTCTGCTTTGACTTCCAGACATACATACTATAAAAATTTTGCTCAGAAATGCTTATGATATTTAATAGGAAATAAATATATCAAGCCTGGATTCAAGTACTTTTTCTCAAGTACAAGTAATATAGATATATTAGCAAGTAAATACAAGTACAAGGTGTAGAAAATTTGATCAAATAATTAATTGGTAAAAGTACAAATACTTTTGTGAAAGACAAATAACCCGCCTTTACTTTATTGCAACTTTATTGTTTTATAACAAGAATATATGTGATTTGGTAAAACTGGAAAAAATCTATCGAGTGAATTGCACTTGTCCATTCACAGGACCCGGAAGCATCTTACTGTGGGTATAATATCCAAATAATGAAATAAAGACAAGAAATATAATGTCAAAATAGTCAATAGCTTTATTATGTATTGCACCAGAGGTGGTACCCCTATAATTATAAAACGGATGTTTTTATCTGTATCTGAACGGGAAGGCGCTTTACACTGGTGAAACTCTTGCTGACGTCTGTTTATTCATGTGTAGTGGGACAGACTGTCTTCATAGAGTGTTTACATCATCAAATTCACTGAAATCATGTCATGGCTCAGAGTTCCAGACTGTCAGGGAAGTTCTGAGCTCAATTGTCGCAGGACAGAGGTGAGAACGGCCACACTGTATGCCAAGAGGAGGATGTGGAGTGTATAGAAGAGAAGATCCCCAGCACCCAGCAGCAACCAGCACAGGCCCACTAGAAGCACCTCGTGTATTCCGGCTGCCACACTTGCACATGCCCAAGGCAGGCACAACTGCCACCGTTCCTGCATGGAAAAGTTGAACATCAAGAACACTTATCCTTCTATATAAATACTGTAAGAATAAATAAGTGTTGTGGATGGTACAAATAAACACACTACATTAATTACAAAATTATTTTGAAAACTAAATCACTTTTTTTTTTTTTTTTTTACCCCATGTCCTATAGACTTAGAAATTTCTAATTGTGGTGTACTCTCTACAGGCTTTATTGCCTTAAATTTGTGACATGGTTACAAATTTATCTTGATCCTCTTGGATCATTTAGTTAGTCATTTTCATAAATAATGTTTGCCATGAACTTGCAGACTAGAATGAACCAGACTCAATACACTTCAAGCACCTCTTCCAGTACTCTTACCCAAATCTTTACACTGCATCAATTCAACCCTGGCTTGTCAATCTACTTGTAAGAAATGTGTGAATTATCCACCCAAGAATATATTTCAAATTCGTACACAAAATAATAACTTGAAGCGGGTCGTGTATTAGCATAACATTAAACAAATCATTGAGGCGGCGCATGTTATTTCGATGAGATGGCACCCCACTACTGGGTCGTCATTCTCAGGAGTCCTGTTTGACCTACTGGAAACCAGAGACTGAAACTGGCCCCCCTCACAGAAGTGCAGGAAGAAGGGGACGATTGATGACCAAACCACACAGAAAGTGAAGAAACGACAATGTTTTGGTTCATCCTGGTCCATTATCTTAATATCTTCATCATATCTTCAGCCACATTATTGTGACTCATCATCTGTACAGGGAAGAATTATTATCATCCTCACTGGGAAAGCATCCAGAAAGACAGCTAAGCCTTACAGACAATGCAAGCTTTATCAAGACAGCTAAACAAATCTGTAAACGATTCAGTCACAACAACTGGTTCACTCAAAACTACCTCAACCCATTAGTACTAACAGCTGCAACCAGGTGGTCAGGAGCTCTTGGCCAACAGTTGGCTCCAAGGTCATTTCTGTTGCTGATACTGAATAATCTACTAGTGTGCTCCTTAGATCATCAACTGTTGAAGTGGGGTCCCCACTGCTTCTCAATTAAGTGCCGGCCAGCCGGCACTTAGCCTGTATCTTCCTGCTGGGAATGTGGAGCTTTCACATTTACAACTGCTCAAATCCTTCTCCTTAGAACAGTGTCTTTCTGTCCCAGGTATTTGGTGTGGAATATGGGTTTGCCATGTGGTCATCATGACTGGCTTCTGGGGCTGGGAAAAACCTAAAGATGGGACATGGGTGTCCTTCTTGGACACTGGTTCCTATGGCAGAGGGTATTTTGCTCCAGGGGAAAGGTTTTCATACCCCCATCCCCTTTTGATGCATGAGTTGGATTACCTGGCAAGTTCCCCCAGATTTTGATTCTGTGTGTCGCTTGGCACTTTGGACTGGACAGTAACATGGATATTTAACATATTACTCTACCTGGTTGATGGTGTTCTGGGAGTAGTCCTACTCCCCAAGCCCGGCCTGAGGCCAGGCTTGACTTGGAGAGTTTGGTCCGCTAGGCTGTTGCTTGGAGCGGCCCGCAGGCCCACATACCCACCACAGCCCGGTTGGTCTGGCACTCCTTGGAGGAAACAATCTAGTTTCCTCTTGAAGACGGCCACAGTTGTTCCTGCAATATTTCTTATGCTCACTGGAAGGGTGTTGAACAACCGTGGACCTCTGACGTTTATGCAGTGTTCTCTGATTGTGCCTATGGCACCCCCTGCTCTTCACTGGTTCTATTTTGCATTTTCTTCCATATCATTCACTCCAGTACATTGTTATTTTACTGTGTAGATTTAGTACTTGGCCCTCCAGTATTTTCCATGTGTATATTATTTGATATATCTCTCGTCTTCCTTCTAGTGAGTACATTTGGAGAGCTTTGAGACGATCCCAATAATTTAGGTGCTTTATTGCGTCTATGTATGCCGTATATGTTCTCTGTATTCCTTCTATTTCAGCAATCTCTCCTGCTTTGAAGGGGGAAGTGAGTACTGAGCAGTACTCAAGATGGGACAGTACAAGTGATTTGTATAGTACAACCATTGTGATAGGATCCCTGGATTTGAAAGTTCTCGTAATCCATCCAATCATTTTTCTGGCTGACGCAATACTTGCTTGGTTATGCTCCCTAAACGTTAGGTCGTCAGACATTTTTATTCCCAAATCCTTATTCCCAAATCCTTACTCCCAAATCCTTATTCCCAAATCATTATTCATCAAACCCTACAATATTACTAGTACGGAAAAGTGAATGTGATTGCACATAACTGGAAATACTCACTAAATGAGAGTGAATATGGCCATAAAAATTAAGGCAATTTCTTAAATTTTATTTGAGTCCCAAAAATAACAAGGATATTTAAAGTAGGATCACAATGATGTGTAGGCTACAAAAGCTTGTTAATAAATAAATAATTATTGAGCTTTACATATGCCACTGTAAGCTTTTCTATACACAGGATGGGTATGGAGTGCATAATAAATGAACTAACTAAACTTACAGCATTAGTCACCAAATCTGCTGTTTATCTTTGTAGACAGATTTCAGCCTGGATAAATTTGGATAACTTAATTTGGTCTAATGTTCTGTTTAATCAAAGGATCATGCATCTGAGAATACGTGAAGGTGGTACTGACCGTTGAGATAGCGACCAGCAGGAGTAGGGAGGCCAAGAGGTACACTACTGTCACCACCATGCCAGACCAGCCACACCCACGTACTGTCCACAAAAATCAAGAACTTACGGTTACCATCTTAGGGTGAACTTTTCTTGCATTACTATTATTTCTACTATCATTATCAGATATATATGCTTAGTACTGTACAGTATAAACATTTGAGCACAGTATAAACATCTTGACTGGCTGATTGGACTGGACTAGCTTGATCCAAACAAGCAATGTCAGCAACTCAAAACATATTTCCTCATGATTTAAATACAGACAGTTTTATATATAATTTTGGAGCTGGTTCAAGGGCTACTCATCTCACCTAAATTGATATCATGTGGATAGCATACTGACAAGATGTCAGTATCAATGTTGGTATTGAGGGTGTCACCATGTCGACTCCTAACAAGCCCAGCCTGACGGAGGACACACCTCTGGTACTTCTGCTCCTCCCGCACCAATAGTGTCCCCTCCATACTGGATATTACCACGCCAAAAACCTGCAAAAGGAATTCATTAAAAATAATTTATTTTGTAGGGGACAGAAAGCCTGTGTATATACTTTTAGACATGTATCGAGGTCCCCTAAGGTTGAACTATTGACCCTCCCCAGGATGCAATTCCACAATAGTTGCCTAACTCCAGGGTACCTATTTACTGCTAGGTGAATGAGGCATCAGGTTAAAGGAAACATACCCAACATATTTGTCCCATCTAGGAACTGATTATAGTGGTTTATAAAAAACATAAATACTATACCTATGCATTATGTAAAACTTGTATTTCAAATCCTCTGTAATATTTTTGTATAAATATAATATTATTACAGTACTTATATATTATTACTAGATGGGGTACCTAGCAGTGCCTGGATTGATACTATGCCCAGGTGACCTCCACATACCCTCCCCTTCTTCCCTCTTCACTCTAAAAATCTTTAGTACACACTGTAAACATCTTAACACCATCGACATTCTCTCGCTCAACAACTTGGGCTGGACAGTAGAGCGACGGTCTCGCTTCATGCAGGTTGGCGTTCAATCCCCAACCGTTCAAGTTATTGGCCAAGATTCCAAGCCCTCCTGTCCAATCCCAAATCCTTATCCTGATCCCTTCCAAATTCTATATAGTTGTATTGACTTGGTGCTTTCTCTTGATACTTCTCTTCTGCCCCCCCCCCCCTCCTACATCATCCCGATCTCCCATCCTTGTTCCCCTTTCCCCACACACTTTCCTTGTTCCTCCACACACACCCTCCCCCATGTCTTCCCACATACACTCCTCGTCTCCTCCCTACCCACACATGCCCTTTCCCAGATTCATCTCTCCCCACATATCAAGATTACGTGGTGGGCATATCAAGGTCATTCGGTGAGTATAACAAGATCAAGTGAACATAGCAATGAAAATAATAATAAATAATTATAAGTTTCTCTTGAGGTTTACTGTATGGTTTGACTGCCTGCCTTTTCATCTTTCTTGTCTCCACTTTCAGATTTACTTTCTACTAAAATCTGTACACATCGCTGTGTTGCTTCCCTAAGCAAGTGTTCATCAGATTTTGGGTGGTGGGAGGTTTTATAGAGCACTGGCAAGATAGCGCTATTTTATGGCAACAAGATGAAAACTTAGGTTATTGCACTAATCTAATTATATAATAATATTAATGGCTAAATTATATATTAAAGGTCCTAATAATCTATATATAAGAGAGAGTGTCTGTGTTTCTCTCTCTGCCTGCCTGTCTGTCCAAGGTTAGAGGACAAATGCTTGGGGCTAGCCTCACCCAACTTTGCAGGGTGAATAGTTTGTGATATTGGATGGACATTGATTGGTTAGGGTCGGTCCTATTGGTCATATTAATAATTAATTCATAGTATTAAGGAACAGGCAGCTAGTGTATACAATTCACCCTAAGCCTAACATATACATACAAGTTAGGCTTATATCGAAGATCCCCCCTTAACCCAGTCGAATTACTGATCCCTCCAGCATGCAATCCCAACAACAAGCTGACTAACTTCTGGGTAGCTACTTACTGCTAGTTGAACAGGAGCATTAGGTGATAGGAAATGTGCCCAACCATTTCTATTCCATCCGGGACAGAATTCCGAACCCGGAATTCTCGACTATGGTTCGAGAAGGAACCCAACTTGGTTTCGTACCAGTATTGACTCCCCCCCCCCCATATTATCACGATAGGTGGCAGGCTTACTCCCAAGAGTTCTTCACTAGAACCATTCAGTAATACATTTTCTGAGACAGATAGAGGAGGAGGGGGAAAAAGATGGAAGGAGCAGAGAAATGTTGGAGGGAGCAGAAAAGTGGAGAGGGGGGTTGACGGGGATGTTGGGGGAGAGGGCAGAGGCAGAGGTATGAGAGAGGAGAGGAGAGGAATTTGTAGGGGAGATAGATAGGTGGAGAAGGTGGGAGAGGGAGGTGAAGTGAAGTGGGAGATGTTAGGGGAGAAAGGTGGGATAGGAAGAGATTGGGATGTTGGGGAGGGGGTGAATGTTGAGAAAAAAGATGGGGAAGAGGGGGTTTTAAGAGAAGGGGATAGGGAAAGAGAGAGGGGAGGGGGGGAGAGAGAGACTCGGGCGCAGCCGGGTACCCCCCTCTAGTAAATTATTAAAGATTATAATGCCCATCTAGTGCATATTGTTTGTGCGATATGGGTATTATTTCAAAACTACTGGGTATTAACTCAAAACTGTAGAATATCCTCCCAAGTGCAATAAAATAGTCTACTACCGTCATCGTTTAAAAAGCAATATAAAAGCACCTTTAATGTCAATATTATGCACTCTAGTTATATATTTATTTATTTGTATATACTATATACGAAGGTACATTGGGTTTATGAGAGTACATAACATTGATGTTTTTACATTCTTGTAAAGTCACTAACACGCATAAAACATTTCGGACAGTTCCTTAATCTAACATAATTTTGAGTAGGTAATTTATAGCAAAATTGAAAAATGTTAACAGGTATACCTACCAATTAAACCAGACCTAATCTGCGCTCGAGGTGAAATCTAGTGACAGGGTTGTATATTTTAGCTATATATGATGAAATTTAAATGGGCGTCATTAAAAAATAGATATCTATGGGACAAATTAAACCTACCAGAGCGAGGCCGGCAAGGAATCTCAGTGTGGTGGTGGGGGTGAAGCAGCCCCCACACCTGGGACCTAGCAACCCCCACCACCTACTGACGGAGGCGCTGCTGGTGGGGGAGTTGCTGCTGGGGCTGCACGAGGTGCTCGACGATATGTTAATTTTGACAGACATGCTACTGGTTTTCGCTGCTCGTTGCTGAACCCTATAGCTTCTCGATTGTTGTTAGCTGTAGTTCTAGTTGAACCCTTAATTTAGGTGATGCTGGTAAATCCTGGTAGCTGCTCAAAAATTCTTTTGTACCTAATAGTCATATATGGTTGTATTTGTTCCTTGAATCATGTATTTCCTGCAGCGTTCGTGACAACAATAGTATATATATATTTCACTATCACTGCACTCATTTTATCATTAAAACCGCGCCACTGTATTCCATACCGCTGTATAACTTCGCTATTGTATCACCGTATCGCTGTATCAGTGTCACTGCATTTATGTCCCTGTCACAGAGAAATGTGCAGACAATGGCTGTTAATGCTAAACACTAGTTTAAAGCACTGTACGTATAGCTGGCAAGTATAAGAGCATATACACAACTCACAGTGCAGGTTATAGAACACACTGCTACACGAAGTAATAGTCTACATCACGCTACGATCATGATTGTGTGTGCACACTGTATGTTCTATCACTATTTGTACACAAAATTACACTGTACATTTGGTTACCTCCTGGTCAGGGACCGGGCAGCGAGGAAGTATTGAGCCCCGAAATCACTGCAAGGTAACCGCAAAGTATAGTATGTACTAGTCTGCATTACAATATACACCGGAAGGGACAGCTCGTAGCAGTAGTAGTCCGCGAGGTGCCCAGTGGTGCCCAGTGATGCCCAGTGGTGCCCAGTGGTGCCACACACACTCCTGGCACTGTGCTGGCATATGAGCCGGATGCCACCCCACTCTCCTCCCCCCTGCTGTTCCACATTCAAACACTCGCCATTGTGCTCTCTCCCACAAAGGTCTTATTTTAAATACCAACGCGGCAGCATTAGTCATAGCATAAACGTTGAGGTAAGGCTGCCGTCTAGCGTTACCAGCACAATAGAGCCGTTGTTATGTATGGTAGTTAATTTGTAATAATAATTTTTATTTATTAATAATATATATAGTGACCATATTACATTGTATAAGTATAAAGTACAGCATTATATATTTTATATAAAGCAAGTCCTAAAAGTGAACATATATGAATACTTTACATCAGAATACACACTAGAAAGAGTAGACAATATACTACTACTCCTACACATGTTTGAAGCAAGTGGGAGTTTTTTAGTTTAGTTCATTTATTATGCACCCCATACCCATCTTGTGGACGGTAGTGGAAAGGGTTACAGAGGCACATAATGGGCTCGGACTGAATCAAGTGGGAGATAATGCATTAAGGGATATTCTCATTACGTTTGAAACAATCAAGAAGAGCATTGGCACAGTAAATTTACTTGATATGGTCGTTTCCGACATGAGACGATTCGGCTAAATTCATTTTCTGTTTTAAAACCGGATGTATTGTTATGCTAGGCTATATTAGGTTATATTATTAAGGTTAGGCTGTATTGGGCTTTGTTGGATTAGATTGGTTTGATTTGGGTTACGTTAGGATGGGTTGAGCTAGGTTAGTCAGGTTTCAAAATTCAAAATTCCACTACGTCACGAAGCAGCCTCTGTGGCGTAGTGGTAAAGCACGCGCCCGGCTCTTCGGCAGCACTTTGACCTGGATTCGTATCCTGGCCGTATGATATTCAGATCTATAAACTACTTTAGAAAGGCCTATAATGCATATTAATATTAATTTACACATTCCTGGCGAAATACACTAGGAATTTCAATATGGCGTTCAAATAATTTTAGGCAGGGGGTCTCTGTGTCGGTTGGTCGCTAACGGTTCATTGACTGACCTCGCCAGTCGTTAGGAAGCAGCGGCGGCGTGAATATCGTCGTTCCCCTCTAGGTAAGGCTGATAATTTTTTTTTTTTTACTAATATATTTGAGCAGTTGGGAGGTACGCATGAATATATAGTCTACCACCACCTACAATGCTTAATGCATTATACATTTCTTCGCTATTATAACACTGAGTTTTAGTAATGTCTCCGAGGGTCATTGTTTCCGTATTGTTTTTTTCATCCGGGTTCTGTAGTATTCAAATGTTTGTATTCCAATAATGCTAAATATTGTCCTCTCTCGGTTTTTGTCGAAGATTTTTTTTTGAGATATATGCAAGAGTTGTTACATTCTTGTACAGCCACTAGTACGCGTAGCGTTTCGGGCAGGTCCCTGGAATACGATCCCCGCCGCGAAGAATCGTTGATACAACCAAGTACACATTTTACTGTTGAGTTAAACAGAGGCTAAATCAACCAGGTATCAACCAGGCTACAGTTAAGGATTTGCGCCCAGTAAATCCTCCCCGGCAGGATACGAATCCATTTTGAGGATCATGATTTGCCAACATTATATGGGTAGGATATTATGTAGAAGACACTTTCCCAGAGTGTTAAACTGCCCCGTCGTCAGGTTAGGCTTGTTAACCCGGCGGTCGACCCCCCCCCCACCCACCCTCCCAAGACGCATTTATTATTGACTTAAATGTACTGTGTATTAAAAAAAGTTTTTATCGTGTATAAATTAATTTTACATTCTGTTTAATTAGGCGTAGTTAATTAGGCGGTTCGGTATTTAGGTTCTGTTGACAATTATTTACAATTGAAGTATGTGGAGGGTGAAGCATTTACAGTTGCCTGTCCTCAGGCCAGGCTCGCCTACGCTGCCGCCCAACCCAAGGCCTCAATTCAATTTTTCTTTATTATGCACCCTATACCCATCCCGAGGACGGTGATCGCATTCGTCAATTTCATCACACTGCGCATTCAGAATTATTCTCGCCTATAAGATAAAACAGTATTATTTCATCAAGTTAATAGTTTAAAAACTAAGTTTAGTGACAAGCGACAGTCGTGTGTACACTGCAATAGATGAACAACTTTCCAACAGGAAGAAGCAGGAGATACCTCTCCAGGAACTGAATTTACCTGAGGGCCACTAGTCCTCGATGAGGACAGTAAGCCGGCGGCTTGTCAAACGTCCCCCAATTTGCCCTGATGATTTTTTCCAGCTGTATTTTAAAACCCAGCGGAGTTTTGGCGTTTACGGCTTCGGCGGGTAGGCGGTTCCACGGGTTTACAACCCTATGGGTGAAAAAGCATCTCCTGTTAGCTGTCCAACATTCTGGCTTGTTGAGAGTGAACCCGTTGCTCCTTGTTCGTGTACAGAGCTCAATTGTTTATTTACTATGGCACCATAGTTGGATTCTAGGGCAAGTGGAGGTTTTTAGGTAGGGATAAGGAGATTTTTGTTTGGTCGAGCTAGGAATGGAGTTTGGTTGTGCTCTGGGACTGTTTAGCCCTGTGGGGGTTGGATGAGATGTATACTTGCTAGGCTTAGTTGCACAACTGGTCGGGGTCTACTTACACAACTGGTCGGGGTCCGGTTACACAACTGGTCGGGGTCCGGTTACACAACTGGTCGGGGTCCGGTTACACAACTGGTCGGGGTCCGGTTACACAACTGGTCGGGGTCCGGTTACACAACTGGTCGGGCTCCGGTTACACAACTGGTCGGGCTCCGGGGGTGTCACTGGGGCTTCGGATTGTGCATGATCGGGCTTCGGTTCGTGCATGGTTGTGCTCCAGGGGTTGTGTGCTATTGCCTCATGTTTCTTTGCTAGATCATCAGGATGTTTCTTGACTATGACTAATTGCATGTTTATTTTCTAAGATTTCATTGTTGTATTTTTGCAAGAGTTCCAGGTTTCTTTTTTTTGCATAAGGCTCAATTAATTGTTTGCTTTGGCTCCAAAGTTAGTTCTTAAGGCAAGGGTGGGGTGGGGGTGTTGTTAGGTAGGGCTAAGGAAGGGTTTGTTTGGTAGACCTAGGGAGGGAGTTTGGTTAGGCTCTGGGGCTGTTTGTTTGGCCTGGTGTGGGTGTGATGAGTTGTTTGCATGCTAGGCTTACGGTTACACAACTGGTTGGGGTCCGGTTACACAACTGGTCGGGCTTCGGTTACACAACTGGTCGGGCTCCGGTTACAAAACTGGTCGGGCTCCGGGGATGTCACTGGGGCTTCGGGTTGTGCATGATCGGGCTTCGGTTCATGCATGGTTGTGCTCCACAGGTTGTTTGGTTCGTTCATGCTAGGTTTGTGGTTACACAACTGGTCGGGGTCCGGTTACACAACTGGTCGGGCTTCGGTTACACAACTGGTCGGGCTCCGGTTACAAAACTGGTCGGGCTCCGGGGGTGTCACTGGGGCTTCGGGTTGTGCATGGTCGGGCTTCGGTTCGTGCATGGTTGTGCTCCAGAGGTTGTTTGGTTCGTTCATGCTAGGTTTGGTCGGTTACACAACTGGTCGGGGTCCGGTTACACAACTGGTCGGGCTTCGGTTACACAACTGGTCGGGCTCCGGTTACACAACTGGTCGGGCTCCGGGGGTGTCACTGGGGCTGGGTTGTGCATGATCGGGCTTCGGTTCGTGCATGGTTGTGCTCCAGGGGTTGTGTGCTAGTGCCTCGGGTTTCTTTGCTAGATCATCAGGTTGTTTCTTGACTATGACTAATTGCATGTTTATTTTCTAGGGCTTCATTGTTGTATTTTTGCAAGAGTTCCAGGTTTCTTTTTTTTGTATAAGGCTCAATTGTTTGTTTGCTTTGGCTCCAAAGTTAGTTCTTAAGGCAAGGGTGGGGTGGGGGGTGTTGTTAGGTAGGGCTAAGGAAGGGTTTGTTTGGTAGACCTAGGGAGGGAGTTTGGTTAGGCTCTGGGGCTGTTTGTTTGGCTTGGTGTGGGTTTGATGAGTTGTTTGCATGCTAGGCTTGCGGTTACACAACTGGTTGGGGTCCGGTTACACAACTGGTCGGGCTTCGGTTACACAACTGGTCGGGCTCCGGTTACAAAACTGGTCGGGCTCCGGGGGTGTCACTGGGGCTTCGGGTTGTGCATGATCGGGCTTCGGTTCATGCATGGTTGTGCTCCACAGGTTGTTTGGTTCGTTCATGCTAGATTTGTGGTTACACAACTGGTCGGGATCCGGTTACACAACTAGTGGGGCTTCGGTTACACAACTGGTCGGGCTCCGGTTAATAACTGGTCGGGCTCCGGTTACTCAACTGGTCGGGCTCCGGTTACATAACTGGTCGGGCTCCGGGGGTGTCACTGGGGCTTCGGGTTGTGCATGATCGGGCTTTGATTCGTGCATGGTTGTGCTCCAGGGGTTGTGTGTTAGTGCCTCATGTTTCTTTGCTAGATCATCAGGTTGTTTCTTGACTATGACTAATTGCATGTTTATTTTCTAGGGCTTCATTGTTGTATTTTTGCAAGAATTCCGTGTTTCTTTTTGGGTATAGGGCTCAATTGTTTGTTTTCTTTGGCTCCAAAGTTAGTTCTTAAGGCAAGGGTGGGGTGGGGGGTGTTGTTAGGTAGGGCTAAGGAAGGGTTTTTTGGTAGACCTAGGGAGTGAGTTTGGTTAGGCTCTGGGGCTGTTTGTTTGGCTTGGTGTGGGTTTGATGAGTTGTTTGCATGCTAGGCTTGCGGTTACACAACTGGTCGGGCTCCGGTTACACAACTGGTCGGGCTCCGGTTACACAACTGGTCGGGCTCCGGTTACAAAACTGGTCGGGCTCCGGGGGTGTCACTGGGGCTTCGGGTTGTGCATGGTCGGGCTTCGGTTCATGCATGGTTGTGCTCCAGAGGTTGTTTGGTTCGTTCATGCTAGATTTGTGGTTACACAACTGGTCGGGGTCCGGTTACACAACTAGTGGGGCTTCGGTTACACAACTGGTCGGGCTCCGGTTAATAACTGGTCGGGCTCCGGTTACTCAA